AAATTAAATGTCCAAATATTTACAAATTTAACCTTAAAAATCCGCCGACGAATGCAACTTAGCATCATAGCTATATCATTTTATGGGGGGGGGGGGGGGGGGGGGAGGGTAGTGAGCACATTTTTTGTTTTGGTCCTCGAATAATTTGCACCCCAAAAGGTAAAAATCACGTGTTTTTACATGATTTTTTTTTCGATTCTTAATAAACCCTATTTGTCCGAATTCAGTTTCCCCCTCTCGCGCGAAGCGCGGAAGCTTTATCGTTTCCTTCAATTATTAGAAAAAGCAGACGATCGATTCGTTGTACCGTTCGCGACTCTTAACCCTATTTTGTCTTATTCCCTCTTCCGGCGCGAAGCGCCGTAACTTTAACGTTTACTTAAATTATGAGAGAAAGCAAACGATTCGTTGTACTGTTCTCGACTCTTAATCCTTATCTGAATTCAGTCCCCCCCCCCCCCCTCCCGCGCGAATCGCGGAAGCATAGACGTTACCTTAAATTATTAAAGAGACAAGACGGTTCGTTGTACCGTTCTCGCCTCGTCTAAATGAAGTTTCCCTTTCTGCGCGCGAAGCGCGGAATTTTAGGCGTTTCATCAAAATATAGAGAAAGGAAGACGATTTGTCGTACCGTTGTTGACTCTTAATCCTCGTTTGAATTTAGTTTCCCCGAAAATGTTAAACCTCTGATTTCTTTAGCTAATATTATAGGAAAGTGAAACTTCGAGAAAATACAAGTATTGTAGTTGTATAGTCTCTCTCGAAGTCGTCACAGGGGATAAAAAGTCACAGTTCGTAGAGAAAAAAAACTTGTCGGCCGACCGACAATATACATCTCACCGACTTCAAACTTCTGAATTGATATAGTACACGAGGATCGAGCAAGAATACCGACACAGCTGACTCGACACATTTACCCGTGTCTTTCTTGCTCCCTCGACGAGACGACTCCACCCAACAAACCCCCCTCCCTCTTTTACTCCCACTCCTCCTCTCTCAGGCTCTTACCTCCCCTCCCTCTCCCCTCTTTCATCCCCCGTTTCTTTTGTTTCCCTTTTCTCTTTTTTCTTCCCCCCCGGCCCCTTTTCTTTCTTTTCTTTCTTTTCCTTTCTTTCCTTTCTTTCCTTTTCTTTTTTCCCTTTCCCTCTCTTCCCCCTCCCCCTTTTCTCTTTTTTCCCGACGGTAGCGCAATTTTACCGACAATATCAGGATATTGTCGGTAGGGTGGGGGTGTCGCACCCCCGCACCCCCACACCCCCCTTTGGAGACGCCCCTGCCTGCACCCCCGCCAGTTAGTGACCTACCATGCAGTGAAGGTATCTAAATATGCTTGTCTGACCGTAATGTAATGCATAAGAACCCTGAGCTTCCGTGGGCAGAGCCCTTGGACCCTACTTCAATTTACGGCTCTCTACATTCTACCTAATCGTTAATACTCCACTTTGAATAACGTTCCGCGGGGCCTGCATGTAACATGTAAGAGTTGTGCTGATGCAGATTTTCTTCTACCCCCCCCCCCCCCACAAAAAAAAAAAAAAAAAAAAATTTGCTCATTTAATACGCCACTGCCCCTGGAATGTTTGCCCCCCCCCCCCCTCCCCCCTCCTCCGAATCACAAACTGCTTCCGGCGCGCCTGCTCCTTATCACGATTATGACTTGCTTCCAAGATTCCTCGTGACCATATTTTCCCTCAGCGTTGCGCGCTTCGGAAAATATCACCACTTGGGGAAAATATAACCCCCTTCAGCGGTCCAAATAATGGTATATTACACCTCAGGCCTGTAAAAAATAAATGTAAAAAAGAATCAAAAGCCTTTTCAAAATCAATTGCTATCAAAAAAGAGTGTTCTCTGCAAAAAAAAAAAAAATGAAAGATCATGTCGTCTGTCATCCGATATTCCAAGTAGTACTTATAGTAGGCCTAATTGCAGATCATTCCATGAGATGTTAAGGACGTGACAAAATGCAAGGGGTGACCTTGCATTCTGTGTCGTCCTTAACATGTCATGAAATGATCTCTTTTCATTTCTATATAGGAGTGTATGATCAGTCTATCCAAACTATGCAATCGCAGATCATTCCATGATATGTTAAGGACGGGACAAAATGCAAGGGGGACCCTTGCATTCTGTGTCGTCCTTAACATGTTTTGAAACGACCTCTTTTCATTTCTATATAGGAGTGTATGATCAATCTATCCAAACTATGTAATGGCAGATCATTCCATGAGATGTTAAGGACGGGACAAAATGCAAGGGGGGACCCTTGCATTCTGTGTCGTCCTTTTGTCATGAAATGATCTCTTTTCATTTCTATATAGGAGTGTATGATCAGTCTATCCAAACTATGTAATCGCAGATCATTCTATGAGATGTTAAGGACGGGACAAAATGCAAACTATGTAATCGCAGATCATTCCATGAGATGTTAAGGACGGGAAAAATGCAAGGGGGACCCTTGCATTCTGTGATTACATATTTTGCAAGGGGGACCCTTGCATTCTGTGTCGTCCTTAACATGTCATGAAATGATCTCTTTTCAGGGCATATTTCCCATTTGCCTTAATTTTGCTAAAAATCACATGAAAAGTAGATTATTATATACCTCATCGATCACGGGGTGAGAAAAATTCTAGCAGCCGACATTAAAAAGGTCTTATTTGAGCGCATATCAACCAATGTGGCAGAACAAACCTAAACGTTTGGTGCATATAACGTCTAGAGTATATAGAAGGGGGTGGGGGTTAATACATTCGTTGCTAATTTCCCATTTGCTTTAAATGTGCTTTAACTCACATGAAATGTAGATTATTATATACCTCATCGAATACGGGGTGCACAAATTCTAGCAGCCGACGTTAAAAAGGTTTTATTTGAGCGCATATCAACCAATGTCCAGAACAAACCTAAACGTTAGGCGCATATAACGTCTAGAGTATATAGAAGGGGGTGTGGGTTAATACATTCGTTGCTGATTTCCCATTTGCTTTAAATGTGCTGAAACTCACATGAAATGTAAAATATAATATACCTCATCAATATGTCCAGAACAAATATTTTAGTTAGTTGCGCATAACATGTAGAGTATATCGGTGAAGGGGGTTTCGGCCTTTAATACATTCGCCGCTAATTCCCATTTGCCTTAATTTTGCTGAAACAGCTCCCATGAAATGTAGATTATTATATAGTTTAGCGAATACAGGGTGCATAAATTGTAGCAGCCGACATTAAAAAGGTCTTATTTGAGCTCAGATCAACCAATGTCCAGAACAAATATTTTAGTTAGTAGCGCATAACATGTAGAGTTTATCGGTGAAGGGGGTTTCGTTCTTTAATACATTTGCCGCTAATTCCCATTTGCTCTAAATGAGCTGAAACTCACATGAAATGTAGATTATTATATACCTCATCGAATACGGGGTATACAAATTCTAGCAGCCGACATTAAAAAGGTTTTATTTGAGCGCATATCAACCAATGTCCAAAACAAATATATTTCGTTAGGAGCGCATAACATGTAGAGTATATCGGTGAAGGGGGTTTCGGCCATTAATACATTCGCCGCTAATTTTGCTTTAATTTTGCTGAAACTCACATGAAATGTAGATTATTATATACTTCAGTGAAAACAGGGTGCAAAAATTCTAGCAGCCGACATTAAAAAGGTCTTATTTGAGCGCGTATCAACCAATGTCCAAAACAAATATTTCGTTAGTAGCGCATAACATGTCGGTGAAGTGGGTGTCGGTCTTTAATACATTCGCCGCTAATTTCCATTTGCTTTAAATGAGCTGAAACTCACATGAAATATAGATTATTATATACTTCAGCGAAAACAGGTTGCACAAATTCTAGCAGCCGACATTAAAAAGGTCTTATTTGAGCGCATATCAACCAATGTCAAAAACAAATATTTCGTTAGTAGCGCATAGTATATCGGTGAAGGGGTGGGTGTTGGTCTTTAATACATTCGCCGCTAATTCCCATTTGCTTTAAATGAGCTGAAACTCACATGAAATGTAGATTATTATTTACCTCATCGAATACGGGGTACACCAATTCTAGCAGCCGACATTAAAAAGGTCTTATTTGAGCGCATATCAACCAATGTCAAAAACAAATATTTCGTTAGTAGCGCATAGTATATCGGTGAAGGGGTGGGTGTTGGTCTTTAATACATTCGCCGCTAATTCCCATTTGCTTTAAATGAGCTGAAACTCACATGAAATGTAGATTATTATTTACCTCATCGAATACGGGGTACACCAATTCTAGCAGCCGACATTAAAAAAGGTCTTATTTGAGCGCGTATCAACCAATGTCCAAAACAAATATTTCGTTAGTAGCGCATAACTATATATCGGTGAAGGGGGTTACGGTCTTTAATACATTCGCTGCTAATTCCCATTTGCTTTAAATGAGCTGAAACTCACATGAAATGTAGATTATTATATACCTCATCGAATACGGGGTACACATATTCTAGCAGCCGACATTAGTCAGGTCAATTTATGGTTTGACCCCCCCAAAATTGCAACAAAAGGTTTTTCAACGGTTTCTAGTAGTATTCGTCCTCAGGAATAACATACTAAAAGTAGACCAAAATCGAAGCTTCAGAAAGCTTTTATTTTCAAGATGGCGTCCAAGATGGCCGCCGATACCTAAAAATGGCCATAAATCACTTATTATCCATCCCAGAGACATAATTTTGGTGTCTATCCCATGGTTTCATCAGAGAATCCATTGAGACAAGTATATCGTTTGTGATGGTCTAGGAAACCCCACAATCCAATTTAGCGAACGAAACTATGATCTAAACATACGAAACATATAATAAATGTCTAAGAATGCATCATTGAAGATATAAATCCGAAATACTACATTAGAGTGAATTTATATGCAAAACACCTGTTCGACTGCAAATGATTTCATTTATCAACAAATTTACTTTCGAGGCGTGTTCAGTGTAATTATATAGCGCCACCTCTCGGTCAAGCGGCAGCACACACCGTGATAAGGGCGGAAGGATAACACGGCTTGATTTCCAGCTGCAATTCTTTCATTTTCATTTTCTTTTGCGGTTGATAATCATATTATTCGTTCACCATGTCTGCTGATGAAGACACAGAACTTAGGGATCTTATCGCTCAAACACTTGAGAGTACTGGAGTACTTGGAAAAATAAGGGTAAGTTATCGGCGCAAGTTCAGAATCATCCAAAAAAGCGACTTTGAGTCGACCCGTAACTCCGGCGTGGAGATACCCCGGCCCTAACTCCGGGAAGCTCCAACACAGGCGCCGCAGGCGTCGGAGCTTCGGGTGGTTTCGTTGGTTTCTCGTGGGCAGGTGGGGGCTAGTAAAACAGCCGATTGGGTGATATTATCGTTAAATCTGCAAAGGGAGTACTTACAATTTTTACATCATAGGGTGCACGACTCCTCAGGGCTCAACTCCAATCACTTGAATGTATAATTTGAAGAAGTCTTTGATGGGAAAAAAAGGTTAATTCGGGGTAGATCTAGGCCTAGGAGTAGGTCTACTACACCAACGATTCTTCCATGTCGCAGCGTTGATTCAAAATAGCGATGAGAAGGTACGCATGCACGGCAGTGGCGAAGAAAATATGAATATTCATGCTATCGAGCGCCGATCGCTCGAAATCGCTGAATGTGCACGACTCGAACAAACAGAGCCCTTCTCAACCTCAACCTAGAAAATTGCTAATTAGTCTATTTCAAAAATCATTTATGAACAGTAAATTATGATAGGGAGGCCAATGCCCGGGCGTAAGGCTTCTACACCTACGATTTGTGCGCTCGTCGCCCACTTCAAAAAATTAGCAGAGGGAAAAAAATTATGTAAAAATAAAATTGATGAAAATAAGAAAAGAAAATACAATTAATTATACATTTTACAACATACCTATAATCACGGATCTGTAACAGTCTTTAACCATTTGTTGACGATCTTGCAGATTTTGACGTATTTGAATACAATAATTGGGCTAGCAGAAGACATTGGCGGATGCGCAGAACCAACTAAGAAAATCCTAGAGTAGAGGGCGTAGAGGTTTGCTCACTAAAAACCTTCTCATTGGCAGAAGTTAGACACTAAAAATATGGGATCCGTTTTGAGTAAAGAACTTTGATAGAGATCAACATTTCAGATGTTCACAATTGTCACTTCTAACCACTAGAAAATATAAAGATAAAAGATTATATCTTTTTAAATGCAGATTTTTACAAACTGAACATTCGAAGGTAGATAGAGTACGATGTTTATGTCAATCTTGCGTTGGTTTGAGCCCCATAGCTACAGCCATCTCAAAATGAGAAGAAAAAACTGTGAACAGTGATCTCATTGTTCTAGCCAAATACGGAGGTCTTGTGACATCATAATATGAATATGTATGAGCTCCGGTCATATCGCGCGCCAGACAAATCTCTCGTAGTCTCACACACAGTACCTTATTCTCACAGCACTATAGACTCGAGTGTCGAGCTCGTGCAGTAAATCAACGAAAAAAAAGATATTTCAGTAAAAAATGTCTACGTGAGCAGTCTATACTCCAATTGAGAAGTTCGGTTGAAAAGACATGATTGGATGATGTGTTGTCAAGTATAGCCGGTCGAAGAAGAAGAAGGAGAGAGAGAGAGATATCCAGGTAGCTAGGGTAGGGTACGTATGCGAGGTATAATGCATATCATTCCGGGGATTAAATAATGTGTTGTGCATTGTGCTGATTTTGGAGGTCGTTCTTGTTGGTTGTACAGTAGATCTCCGACTGAAATCATAAGGAATATACTCATGAGGAAATCAAGTTATTGGAATACACATCTAAGGTAAATATCAATGAATTATATCTATTTCTTTCCTGCCAATTTTGATATCTCTTCTTCATTTTTGAACCATCGCCTTCGGCTTGTAGTAGTAGAAGATGTAATCGTTCGCACATTGATGACTGGATTTCAGCCTGCATCGGGGCTTGCCTGTGTCGGTGTGTACCGCTTTTGAGTGATTGTACTTTCGCGCGAAGTTTTAAACTTCATCATGAACTTTGTCCGGACAATGACACGCCCATTCCCTCGAGCCTGTCTAATTATGAACGTAAATTTGCGACATGAAATATAATTGTTTCAAGGCTCTTACGTACGGATAGGCGTAGAAGGAAATGCCTTCAAAAGAGCTGGATATCTCCTATTTTATGGAACTTATGGAGTCGGCAGATGGGTGAGTTGTCTTAGTGAAATAAAATGCTTTCTTTTAATCTTTGTTTTATTATAAACAAATTAGTAATTAAAAAGTTAGATTTGGGCATTGGCCTCCCTAATTATGATACATCTTATGAAAGAGCGTTTTATCCCAAATCAATTGGTGTCATTTTTATGTGGTATGGGTTCACGCTTGGAATGAACAGGAGGCATCATTTGCGAAAGTACATTCACTCATCAGCGGCTAGCCTTGAATCGGTCGCACACACAGACACAGTACAGGCCAGGTACGGTAATTGCAAGCCGCAATCCTGAAATCGAGCCATGCTAGCCATGGAGGGACAAAACAGAGACAGAAAGCCACTCATTGTAGTCAATCAATATAGATCTAAACTCAGAAAGTGATTAAAATTAATAAGTAGGCCTACCTTATTCCAATAGTATTTCCTTATAAGTAAAGATCAATCTGATACTGCATTATCATCAGTCTGCAAGAATCTTCAACTGTGAAGGAGGTAGACTTAACCCCAAAGAAGAAGAAGAAGAAGAAGAATCAACAATAGGAATGCATGCAACGTATGTACGCAGACGTGTACTGTATTTTTTCTCTCTCTCTCGCTATACGTAACACACTCACTAACCATGTATCATACACTAAACACACACCTTCAAATCATGGCTTTCATTTCACTTCTCAATTGGAGTATAGAGTAGACTGCTCACATAGACTTTTTTTTTTACTGAAATATCTTTTTGAATACTTCTCATACATTACTGCATGACACTGGTGTCTAGTGCTGTGAGAATACTAAGGTACTATGTGTTTGACTACGCCAAATTTGTTTTGCGCGCGATGTGACCGGAGCTCATACATATTCATATATTATTTTGCAATAATCCCTATTTTGGGCTCCAACAATGATATCACTGTTCACAGTTTTTCTTCTCATTTTGAGATGGCTGTAGCTATCGGCCTCAAAGCAACGCAAGATTGACATAAACATCGTACTCTATCTACCTTCGAATGTGCAGTTTTTAAAAAATCTGTATTAAAAAGATATAATCTTTTTAGTTTATATTTTCTAGTTGTTAAAAGTGTCATTTGTGCACATCTGATATGTTAATCTCTATCAAAAGTTCTTTGACGTAAAATGGATATCATATTTTTTTTAGGCTCTACCTTCAGCCAATGAGAAGGATTTTAGTGAGCAAACCTCTGCGCCCTATAGTTTCTCTTGTATGTGCGTCATGTTCATCTGCTACCACAATTATTGGATTCAAATACGTCAAAATCTGCAAGATCGTCAACAAATGGTGAAAGATCGTTACCGATCCGTGTTTATAGTTATGTTTTGGAGTGTACAATTGTATTTATATGTTATTCAATAGAGATATATATATATTTTTTTTTTTTCTTCTGGTAATTTTTTGACTTGGACGACGAGCGCACAAATCGTAGGCGTAGAAGCCTTACGCCCGGGCATTGGCCTCCCTACCATTATGTTGTTTATGCGTGCCATACACTCCATTGCTACTGTGTTGCAGTCCTCTTATTTTCCTCTCTTCTTTTCTCTTTCTCCAAGCTCTCTATCCTCCTCTCCTCTTTGCCTATCCCTTTCTTCCTTTCTTCCATTTATATTGTATAATTGTATTTGTGTATTCGGGCGTACCAATTACAAGCTCTGCTTATCGGGTTTATATTTATGTTCCTATTTATAAATTGTATTGTTTGAACAGATGTCGAATATGTTGTCAAATTGAATGGAAGAAAATTAATGTTCATTTGAATTGAATTGAATTGAATGATTAATCCGAGAAAGTCTCATAGTCAACATGATTCATTGTCGTCAATCTTGGTTAGAGTTGATGAATATTCATTTTTTATTTTCGAACGTCCAATACTACGTACGAGTCAGCCCGGCTTGACCCAGTGATATCTGAATTTTCGTTACCGGTAATCCGATATCAAACGAGTGCTCTGTTGGCCATTGGCTATGTTTTGGTAGGTTGACCCGGAAATATATCGGCCGCCGGGTCATGTCATTACTAGTTTGAATGCACGAACGTACTGTTTCAGGGTTCTGAGATAAAAATTGGATAACTCATATAAGTAAGTCCGTAAATTTTGCATATTATAATAGGTTATCAAACTTTGATAACTGTAATTAGGAGGAAAATATACAAAGCTTTTTGTCTATCTGCTTTATAGATCAGAAAATTAGATCTAAATAAAGAAAATCGGGGGAGAAAATGTCAGGAGCCAAAATTACAAAAAGATGTTCCGAATTGGCTCAATCTATCCCCCCTGTGCGAGTCGTCTGGATTACCGTCTGTATTGGGGAATGTCAACAAATGTCAGTTTTATTAAAGAAATGACCCATATCAGAAGGTTATTTCTGTCTACCCCGGCCCCCACTCAGCAGGGCGCTTTAGCAACGCGACGGAAGGCATACACGTACGGCGCCTGTGCGCGCTTGGTGGGCGGTGCCATACTTGCTATGATTTCATATATTCAAGCTTTTATTTTATACCACAATACATGGTGTCCGTTTCTGAGAAAGACATAGGTGTGTACATGTATCTCTGTAATCTCAATGCCTCAATGGTGATCCACTTGGAATCTCACAATGTTTTAGCGTCTTTAATGAGCTTGTAAATACCACTGGTGAAGAGATTGCTGTTTTACTTGAAATATGTAAAACTTTAAAAATGCTTGAAATGCTGTGGCGAATGTGACAATTTCAGGTTTGAACGAACATTTGATAAATATTTTCAAAACAATTCATGACAGCTTCATTTTTATTAGAATTTCTTACACTTACACCTATCAGTTTTAAAGTCCACTTGATGTCAAGGGGAACTTCCCCTAGACTGCTTTGAAAAAGTTTGGCCTAAACAGACAAGACAGGAGCGAGCTTTAATTTATTTAATTTGATTATCAATCCTTACCATTCTTTTATCAAATACTTGATAAAGGCAAATATTCTGTTGTCTGTTCAAATGAACGTTATCAATGTTACCTTATTCTCTTGTTGTCTACAAACAGGCTGAGCTTCGGGCAAGTGTTTTTCTTACACTCGAAGAGCAAGATGCTGGAAGGAAGAATTCACCATTTGTAAATGAGGAGCTCAAGAAATATCTGGCAACAAAAGAAGGTAAAATTATTTTATTAGAAAGAGAGTGATTTTATAGAAGATGTGAATTTTATATGGCACTGTTTTGTTTGTTCTTTTAACATATAAACGTGTCCCCCAAGATGGTAAAAAAATACATACTTCCAAGTACATGTAATTTTAGTATCAGTACTTTTCATATTTCTGAGAAGTGCTTATTTAGAGCTTAATCTATCTCCATGTTTATTCACCAGACATGCATACTCTTAGTTTTGGGGTTGTCTGTCCGTCCCACTTTTCTTTAACCACAATTTATAACTCAAGAAACATCAAACAGATTTCAACCAAACTTGGATGAAGTAGTTAATTATTTATGAGCATGCGAGGATGAATTGATTAGATTATGGGTAGAAGTTTGCAGGGTCATGAAAGTGTTTAAAAAATACCATAAAATATGTTGTTACCACAATTATTTGAAAAGCATTAAAGTAATTCAAACTGCACTTGGATGAAGTATGACTACCGGTAGACATGCACAGATGAACTGATAATAGATTTTGGGTGTTAGAGGGCTTCTTTATTTTTGGAAATATTCTGACTCTTTAAGTGCCATTAAGCTATTTAGTTAGAGCTAATAAAAAACAGAGCCATATGTAGATGGTACTTAATCATATGTTAAGAAGAAAATGAGGAATTGGTCATCATGATTTATATTGCATATAATCAATTTCTTTAAAGCTATGGTCACAAAGGTTTGGATGAAGATAAGTTTGTATGAATCTCCATGTTTTTCCATTGTCTTCCCAAATTTCCATTGTCTGAAAATCGTTTGTATGGCGTTTGTAGCAGTTCGTAATGGCATTTGTGACCGACGCTTTTAGTTAAAGACTATAAAAGCAGCTTGGAATTATTTCCAACTTTCAAAGTCTACCCATTTAAAAAAGTTGTCTCTTGTATTCTCAAATGTGGCTCTCTCACTTCTGAACTCTTTGCTTCTGATGATCTCTCTCTCTCTCTCTCTCCCTTTCCCTCTCCCTTTCCCTCTTTCTCCCTATCTCTCTCTCTCTCTCTCCCTTTCCCTCTCCCTTTCCCTCTTTCTCCCTATCTCTCTCTCTCTCTCTCTCTCCCTTTCCCTCTCCCTTTCCCTCTTTCTCCCTATCTCTCTCTCTCTCTCTCTCCCTTTCCCTCTTTCTCTCTCTCTCTCTCCATTTGTATCTTTACCGTATATGTTTATCTGCAATCGATGTCATATTTTTCTTTCATCTTTCCTATAATTTTATTCATAGGATATCACACAGCTGCTGTTGTCAAAGAATTTCTGGAGTACTTTAATTTGGACTTCAGCTTGGCAGTATTCAACCCTGAAACAAATACTGTGAGTGATGTGCAGCAAAATGATTAGGTCACAAATTATTTATTCATTCTTTTAATGTAAGAAATAATTTGATATTATACAAATATTGCATGCTCTGGTGTTCAGAACAACAAAATATTTGAACAGAAAAATTTGGAATTTTGAGTTGACTACCGGTATGTTATGTTAAAAAAACCAAATGCATGCAATATTTGTTATATCAAATTTAGGGTCTTTTCGTTTTCCTTGGACTGGAGTGAGGCCCTCTCGATTAAATTTAGGTTGCCTTTTTCATCAGATGCGTGCAGCTAAGACAATTCTCGCTACCCTAAATAGGTACGAAAATCTCGAAATTCGCGAGACGAGGTAATTTTCACTCTCTCGGGTCGTCACTACAACTTCCGGTATAGAGTCCCATCCCGCTGGCGCTAGCGCCTGTGTTCGCTGTGCAGAGTTTTCACGCACGCTAAAATCGATGCCAATCAGTGTAATTTGTACAGATTATAATATGCAATGGAAAGCTTCGGCAGAATTAGTGACTTTAGCACAAAAGGCCGTTAAACTCTACCGTGAAAGAGAGGGTTGTGATCACGAACGCCTGCACAGGAAGCTGTAATGTCGAAAAGCTATCCCATAATGCAATGCGCGTTTTCAGGATTTTCCCCGGATCTCGGCAGAATCGCTATTGGGGTAGCGAGAATTCTAACAATGTATACATAGCATTATGTGCAGAGAAGAGAGGTGTGCAGTCTAATTCACTTTTGTACGCGTTTTACCATGCAAAAAATATTGTTACATTTCAACTTCTCTGCATCTGCATCATATTTCATCACCATTAATGAATTCACTTTTATTCAAACCTGACCACATTTGGGCTCTGAGCTTTTGTGAAGAAGTTAATCATCATGAAACAATGATTTTCTTTTCTGCGACTATTATGTTTGTATTTTTAAAGGGCAATCAAACCCTTGTAAAGAAGTTCATGTGTATAAAAGCAGAAAAATAAGAGAAACAGAATGGCAAAAGTTTGAGATAAATGGGATCAATGATAAGAGAGTTATGAATGTTTGAAATGCGAGATCATTACAGCTACCGGTATGCGAATCTCAAATTGGCAATTATTTCACTGGATTGTGACGTAGTCATGAAGAACTTTCCTGTTTGTCATGTACAAAAATACACCTTTGACTAACATCTGATTTTCTCCGAAGTGCCTTCTCCCTTGGGGCACTATTCCAATATTGTTCATTATTATCATACATTGTAGATCCTCTAAAAAGAAAAAAAATCTTTCTTAATAATGCATTTCGGAAAAAAGAACTTACATATTTCAGTCAGTATGTGTGTTGGATCAAATGGAAAAGTTCTGATTCTGTTCTGATCCTGGTCCTGATCCTCAAGAGGGATATATACATGTAGATGACCAATAAGAACGTTATCGTTCAAGAGAGAGTGTTTGTTGCATCTAGAACATTTTAGAATTGAGTCCCATCACATTGCAGTTATGGGGAGGGACTATGCATATATTGCCCCTTTGGATTGCTTCCCAGAGTCTGGTTTTGAAGGTTTCAACTGAGTTGCAGGCAATGATACTGGGGGAATAAATTCCAGGCCCGAATGGTTCTTGGAATGAAGGTGAGTCAATAAATATCCGTTTTGCATGTTATGTTAGAGAAGGAGAGATTATGATGTCCCTTGACACTATGAACATGACTGACAAAGAAAACGGACAAATTATACAGTTCCTCAGGTAGACAAAGGAACATCCTTTCACTGCTATTATGTAAAAATGTGTAGAACAGGTGTCACATGCAATGCATATTCACCTTTTTACATAATAGCAGTGAAGGGATGTTTCTTTGTCTACCTGAGGAACTGTATATTTGTCCGCTTTCTTTGTCAGTCATGTTCATAGTGTGAGTATCTTCAGGGTTGTGTGATGTATTCAGGTCTGGGTATGGTTACTTGGTCATTGATGGATTTGAAGAAGAGCGAGTGTCGAGCCACAAAATGTTGACTCTGTAGCGGTTGCCATTTTAGATCACTCTTCAGGTCTGATACTAGACGTCTATTCCATATTTGCCAGTGACAAATCTAGCCCCTCTGTTCTGGACTCCCTCTAGTTTGTTGATATGTTTAGTATAAAGTGGCATATTCTAGATGAGGCCTTACTAGACAGGTGAATGCAGCTTCTCTGATCTTCTTGGTAGAGAAGCCAGACAGGTTACGACGAATCATCCAGAGCATACAGTTTGCCTTTTTGACTACCTGATCCACTTGGTTCTCTCAGGATAAGTTGTTGGTTAGTTCCACTCCGAGGTAGGGATGGTGGTTTACCTCCTTGAGGGTAGTACTGTTTATGTACATGTAGTATGCTTGGTTTATGAGATTACGTGTCCTCCTGGACGTTGAATTTCATGTGCCAGTGCTACATCCCAGTGACATTACCGTTTCAGCCAATTTGAAGTTCCCTTATGCATAGGGGTTACAACTTTTAAAAGAGATTTTATTTTTATTAAAACTCTTAACAATTGCATATAAAATGTAAACACAATGATGGTCCCATGTATTTGCAAAATAGAATTTCAAGTCGTCAACCAACTTGCAATCTCCGTTCATCTTCAAAACATAATGGGCACCATGATTTTCAGTATGTCATTCCAGCACTATGGAACAATCTCCAAGGCCCGAATTCACAAAGGAGGTTTGTCGACAAACCTAGGTTTATGTGCGTCATATGACGCGCGTTTTTACAAACCTTGGTCTGTAAAAATGCGTCATATGACGCACATAAACCTAGGTTTGTCGACAAACCTCCTTTCTGAATTCAGGCCCAATAGTCTCAAAACTTCTGTCCTTCATTACAATCGTTTAAATCCAACTTAAAAACATATCTGTTTCGATCATGGCATTCTTAAATCATAAAGTAAAAATATAAATTTTGTAATTGATTTGATAATTGTATGTCATAAGCGGTGAATGCTCAATATTTTTCATGTCTTTCTTCTTCTCTCTCTCTCTCTCTCTCTCTCTCTCTCTCTCTCTCTCTCTCTTCTAAGCGCATAGAGACAATTATGTAATATGTGCTATACAAGAATTGAGCATTATTATTATTATTATCATTATTAATACTGTCACCGGTCTGCTTCTCTGATTAATTTTGCATTCTTTTAGAGTTGTTTGATCTTCAGGTTGGATTTCCCTTTCATCTTTTATTTTGTTAACAGAGTGATACGTATGACGGGAGGGAGTCCCTCGCCAGTGAGTTGAATATTGCTGATACTGAGAAGACGAGGGAAAAGCCCCTTCTCTATGAGATACTGAGGAGAAGTCAAGACACAGGGGACCCAAAGGGTAGACCACGCTCCAGTTCCGCAATTGAAGTAAGTTGGATGCGATCTATAGGAGTAAATTAGAAAGAATAAAGAAACATGCTTTTAACCAATTGTGTCAAAAAACTTTGAAAGGATTTAGGAAATATAATTGTATGCCTCTACCCAATAAAGGTTGTACTGGAGGCGATATGTTTTCGGGTTGTCCATCCGTCTCGCTTTCTGGTTATCACAATATCTCAAACTGCTTGAAGCATTTACTTCAAACTTGGAAGACGATCTGATTAGAGTCTGGAGTAAGTAGGTCAAAGCTTAAAGTAGCTTGGCGAAGAAATTTCACATAATCACTAGAAATGGGCAAACATGTCCGGATAGCGTAGACCAATTGAACACACACATTCTGCTCTAAAGTCTTGTAAATATAAATGAAACGCGGTAAGAAGCTTTTTCCAAGAACCTTCTCAGAACTTCTATTCCTGGCTGAACATTTTGTTCTCACAGTAGGTCGATTATGACGTCGCTGGTTGGGCACGATCGCAATTCTAGGCCTCAAGCTCGCCTCTCGCACAGCTCGCGTGCAGTATTTTGCATAGGCCTTTACGTATACATTATCCAGACTTTGCATGCTTCATTTCCTGACGAGAAAGTGGAATAACAATCTCTAGAAATCATGTTATTACATTATAATATAAAGCAAATTTATGTAATATAATACGAGGGGTGAATCGTGCAATTCGATTCGTCCAAATACCCTTCTGTTCTGTGTAATTTGCTGAGATGTTGTGTATTTGTTCGGTCATCATGTCTTGGCGTGATAGTGATTGCTGTTGATTATAAAATGTCTCGCCCAGTCACCCCGGCCAGTGACAGGGTGCATGACAGATCGATCGCCAGTTGAGCGGGGCCGGGGGAGCTGAGCGGCAGCTCAGCCAGCTCGCGCTGATATGCTATCACTTGACGTGCACCGACGCCGTCTTCTCCGACTTGTTCTCTTTCTTACATCTATCCTACATCATCATCATCGTCACTATCACTACCAGTACCACTGCCACTATATAGTTGTGGAGCTGTGATCATCAACTTCGAATTCTAAATCGAGTAAAACTTTAGCTTCTTCGAGCTCAGACATTTTGATCAGATATTTAGCGTTCGAGTGGCGTTTGTATACATATAATGCGCAGGCGAGAGTTGTGTGAGAGCTCTTGGGAGCACTCTCGCGCTCATGTGCCCAACCTCATACGTCACAAATCGTACGTCACAATAGCAGGCCGATCAAGGGCGGAATAATCGGGTAGTAATTTCACCACTTTTAATAGCGATAAGTCAATTCTATATTTTTTTTGAAAACTAAATATGAACCATTAGAAAGATTGTAACATTAACTTTGCAATGATACCAACATTATTAAGGATAAAAGCCTTTTGAAACCTTCACTCAGCTACTTTAAGGTCATAAAGGTTAATTTGTATGAAGTAACATGTATTAGCCTCATTATTCCAATATCTCAAGAATCACTAAAGGTATGAGCTTCAAACAGGGTGATAGTTTACTTCACCATAAGAAGACAATCCTTTAATAAACTTAGCATTGATGGTAACTGTAACTTCCATGGAAACCTTGATTTGATTGGCTAATTAGTGATGTTGCCATTGTTGTTAATATTGAAGGCAAAATTTCCAGTACACTTCATATGATGGGTTTTTTCTGTGTTTTTCTGTGTTCATTTTTTCTTTGATTTCTGTCGGGGGAGGAAGGCAGACTGCCCCCCCCCCACCCCTTAAAAAATGCTAGTAGTAAGCAAATAACTACCGTTGGTGAAGGTGATGGGACAAACTATCCCTTCCGAGGCGATCTGGATGTAGCTATCTTTCCGAAGCGAAGCTGAGGAAACTTAGCGTATACATTCTGATCAACAAGGAAGTGATAGTTTGCCATCGCTTGAAACCAAAAGGTGATTATTCGCTTTATATTTCACATCTAAAACATATTTCACATCTAAAATCTAAAACTACAAAAAGAAAAGGACATGTATGCATCTACATAAAAGACACCAGGCCCAAATTCACACCAAAAAAAGTTAAAAGTTTAACCCAACCCCTTGAGGGTACGGTGCGCGCATGTGTTTGCTTTAATTGCGCTCATTGGTAATGCGCGCTTCATTGCGCCTGTTTTAGTGCGCTTTTGGATAATCTTCAGTGAAAGTGTGTTGCCCTTTGTAGATAGTACCTCTATCTTCAGTGAAAGTGCGTTGCACTGTGTAGACAGTAGTCTACACTGTGTAGTCTACACTGTGTAGATACACAGTGTAACAAAGTTTTTGCTTCTCCCATCAATAATGGGCGAACTATCTTTCATCATGTGATTTACTTTTGACCAATCGTAGAACAAGATTCTTAGTATGTGGAATATAATAACATTTAATTGAAAATCAGAGTTTAAATTTTAAAATCATTTTAGCCCTTTACAATATATCCATAACATATATGATTTTGTTTCTAATTTCCAGGAAGAAACTGTTGCTATCCCGAAGGTACATTAATATCATATTTTTTCTGTTGTTGCTTGAATTTGAATGTTGTACATGTATATATATGCAAATAAATGTGTTTGCTTCTGCATGTTCATTGCACATTTTGTTACACATAGACGGAGGCATTATAACATGTTTTCTGTCTGTCCGTACGTCCCGTTGTCGTGATCGCGTTATCTCAAGAGTTATCGTAAGAGGTGATTGATGGATTACCCCCAAATGAATATATCTTGCAGAGCTAATGACCTGATTGATTTTGGGGTCATGAGCTCAAAGGTCACAGGGCTTATTATGTATGCAAAAATAGCTTGTGATCGCGTTATCTCAAGAACTGATTGATGGATTACCGCCAATGAAGTGATTATATTTTGGGTTCATGAGGTCAAAGTTCATGGGGCTCATTATGTATGCAAAAATAGCTTGTGATGCATTGTCAATACTGACGGATATCAAACTCTGGAAATGTATGTATCTTGCAGAGTCGATGAACTGATTTGATTTTAGGGTCATGAGGTCAAAGTTCAAAGGGTCATACATGTATATGAAAACTAGCTTTTAATCACGATATTCTGAGAACTTGTTAATAGATTACAATCAAACTTGAATTCTTAAAATTGGTTCTGTTTTGGTTTGTAAAATCACTCTATGGCGGAGGCATCATTTTCGACTGCCTGCAGTTGAACGAACATCCATCTAGTTTATTTGTTATGATATGTGTGATTCAAAGCATGATTTCCATAATTTACTAATACACAGTATGCATGTTCTGTCATCATTGAAAAAAAAATCTAAAGAGAGAAGAAAACCAAGATGACAACACTGGGTAGTAATTCAGAGTTCCCTGCTATCATATATAATCGGGGAAACCTGGAAATTAGTCCCCCTTCTCAAGTTGGAGAAAAGTCAGGGAAAATGAGGAATGTGATTGTCCCCCAAAAGAAAGTAGTGAGCAGTCATTGTATTGTCCTGTGTCTGTCCAAACAGTGTATCTATTGCCAAGGTTGATATGTACAGGGGGTCAGGGGCGGCGATTTCTCTTCATGACCGGGGGGGGGGGGGGGGGGGGGGGACGAAATCCAAGGGACGGGGTGCAGTGGCATAATGGGCAAAAAAAAAAATCTGCACCCCCTCTCTTACATGGTACATGCAGGCCCAGCGGAACGTTTTTTCAAAGCGGGGGGAGGGGGGGGGGGGGGGCTAAAGAATTTTTGATCAGGTAGAGCAAAGCGAGCGAAGCAAGTGGAGTGTAAGTTGGAATGGAGTCTAGGGGCATAGCGCAGGGGTTTTAGGCATTTAATAATGGTCAGATGAGCATCTAGGGGCCCACTTTAGGGGCTCTTGTTACTTTTCAGGGGGCAGAGCCCCGGAAGCTCAGGGGTTTAGGCATTTAATTACGGTCAGAAGAGCAACCAGGGACCCGCCTTGGGGTCCTTGGTGGGGTACAGGGGGCAGAGCCCCCGGAAGCTCAGGGAAAAACCATGCCATTTCAGCAACATTTGTAAATCACTAGTATCGAATTAGAAATGAACCGCCTTTGAATTTTATTAGGGGGGAAACTGCCACCAAGCCCCCCCCCCCCCCCATCATTACGCCAGTGCGATAGAGCATAGTGAACGAGAGTGGTGAAGGTAACGGAAGTGACTACCCCCTGACAGGTTTTTGAAGTTTTGTTGTATTAACAAATTACATTCCTAAGCAAAACAATAGTATAAAAACAAGCAATATACCTTTTTCACACTTCACTTTTCTACAATATTTACTTGTACAGTTGAAGAATATTATGCAAGGGAGCAAGAAGATTTTGCACTTTTTTCATCTAAACGCTGCACTCATGGGCCGTCCAGAGCCTTAAAGCTTATTGCAGTCTTTAGTCAGTATTTGTTATACACTTTTTGTTTGCACTATTCCCCCCGGGATCGCCGCCCCTGTAGGGGGTACATAAAATGCCTCCTTGAATGATAATAGAATTTTGAAACTCTGTCAAGAAAAAGTCAGGGAATTTTGTTTTTTGGGAACGCTGGGAATTTTCTTCTTTGGGAATCAGTAGTATAGGGAGAGAAGTGAAAGAGCAAGGAATATCTTTGCACATGATGACGTATTTAAACATATCCTTAAACATTTATACATGTACGCATTCCTACAATCATACCACTTTTCTAGAATATTTTGTCAATACTTTATTGAGCAGCATTTCACAAGTTGTATTTCCCTATGATGATTAATAGATATCAGGGCCCCATCTTATAAAGAGTTACGATTGAAAGTCCTCCAATCAATCGCAAGTTTGCAGTCTCCTATCTCTTATGTAAATAATTACGATTGATATCAATTATCAATCACAAACAAGTTGCGATTGATATCAACTCTTTATAAGACGGGCCCCAGATCAGTTGCATTTACATGTACAGTTCATGTTTGTTCAAAATTTGACAAAATTTCAATTTTAGTTTTATATTTGCCATTCTTATAAAAAGCTTGTTGCACAATGTGCATCAACATAAAGATGCAATTTCTATTTCTTGCATAAGTTTTGTTTCATGACTTTTCTTTACATGCAGCACAACTTTTTATAATTTCTTCTTCTTTTCAGGGGGTTGTTGTTGAAAAGAACAATAATTTGAGTCTTTATTGTGGGAATTTGTAATTGTTCCATGTGCTTGATAGCTATTTAGGATCTATGCTTTCACTGTTGGCAACATGATCCCGTTATTGATATTAATGATTTGCATTATAATTTCTTTTATCATTGTTAGTTATATTTAAATAAGTTCTCTATGCTAGATTTGTTCCTTTATTTCATGCCTAGATATTGTCTCTTCTAGGCTTCTGCTCGCATCTTCATACACAGTAAAACAAGAAACTATGGCCAACGTACATATAAATGTTGCCAATTCTATGACTTTTTCAGGTTTGCACTTTTGCGGCCAATAAGGATGCTGCTAGCGCTATGATAATGCCACAGATAATTAATTATAAACACTGACTGCTTATCCCCATGGCTTCTTGGTTTCTAGAAAATTGCGCCATCCCTATTTTTTTTTTAAAAGTGCTGCCAGAGCCAGAGCATTCTGGCTGCTAGAGAAAGTAGAGCACAAATGCAGATCTTCAGTTTTTGTCCTAAGAAGTTTTGATGGTCGTCATATTGAGAAAAGTTTTATCTTAAAAATTGGCTCACCTCCGATTCATTTGTACCATGTATCAAAATTGTTCGAGACGTCCCAAAGATGTTGTGATGCTTGTGAGATAAAGAAGGATTTCATTAAATGAAAGATGACTAACCTCCGGTTCTTTTGCCTTCCAAAATTCTTGAAGACGGCACGATGCGCTTACGATTGTCATTAAATATCCTGTCATCTGAACCCCCTGTTGATATTTTTATTCATGCACATGCTGATTTGCTGAACACAATTCAAACCATAGTTCAGTAATATTTTAACCTTGCGGAACTGAACACAAACATAGCAGTTGATTAAGCACAAGGTCGGACTAACAGCCCCCCCCCCCCCTCCCCAGTTCAGTGCACCATGCCTTTTTATGCCTCTGTTAGGAAGTGGCCAGAGGCATTATGTTTTCGGGTTGTCCGTCCGTACGTCCCGCTCTCGTGATCGTGTTATCTCAAGAACCGACTGATGGATTCCTACCAAACTTTGGTCATGTATGTAACTTGCAGAGCCAATAAATTGATTATATTTTGGGGTTACGAGGTCAAAGTTCAGAGGTCACAGGGCTCATTATGTATGCAAAAATAGCTCGTGATCGCGTTATCACAAGAACTGATGGATCCCTGCTGAACTTAGGTCATGTATGTATCTTGCAGAGCCAATTAATTGAATATATTTTGGAGTCACGAGGTAATAGGTCAAAGGTCACAGGGCTCATTATGTATGCAAAAATAGCTTGTGATCACATTATCATTAGAACGGATGGACATATTACCATGAAAGTCAGGACATGTATGTATCTTGCTTAGGCAATGAACTGATTAGATATTGGGGTCATGAGGTCAAAGATCAAAGGGTCATACATGTATATGAGAAATAGCTTGTAATGGATTACAATCGAACTTGAATTTGAAAAATTTCTTCTTTTTTGGTTTGTAAAATTGCTCTATGACAGAGACATCATTTTTGACTGCGCGCAGTCGAAGTTCCATTTAGTTAATATTAATCGTGAGAGCCCTGGACGCAAGACTAAGATTTTGCAATTCACATTTAGGGAGATGTGAGTTGGTCTAGCGCCGCACGTTCAATGGGTCAGCTCTATGTCTTCATCTACAAACTGACTCGGGGGAACCCCGGTTCGAAACTGATTCATGTCTTTCGGATGGTGACGTTAAACTCGGTCCCTAGGCGTAAATAATCATATCTGATTGATACACGTCTGTAAAAACCCAATTACACACACACACAAGTTCTGGATGGGAAAAGGGCAGTCCTTGATAATTTGTGAGAGTATCTGGTTTTACAGTATTCACAAATAAATGCATATTTGTCATTCAACATTACACTGTACATGTAGGTACAAAATTTGTTGTCATGATGTATTTGAGTTTGAAAATATCCATTTGAATATGCAAAATTGCTTGAGGATTCACAAGACCGACATGTCAGTTTTGTGGGTATTCTCAAAACTTTTCTGCCACATTTCTCCAATTTTGATAAATGGAAAATAATGTTTTTTTATAAAATTCAACTTGTTTAAGAAACAAAAATCATGTTTTTTACTTCAAATTGTGATGTTAATGATTAATCCCTATTCAATTGAAATTGTATTATGATGTAGATAATTTCTCTTTCACATGATACTGCAACACATGCAACCAACTCAAAAACTAAGCATGATATATAATAATAATAATAATAATATTTAATTTGTATATAGCGCTTAATACAAATGTCTCTAAGCGCTATATGACTTTGGCTCTCCAGTTAGTATGTGTAAAGCCACTACTGATAGTTATTAATGTATATACCATTCTCTTTTATACTTGCAGGATCTGACCGCTTCACAGATTGCAGATGCCAAGGCTAAATTTGAGAAATATGACCTGGTAATGACTAGTATTTGTTATAAGTTCTTTATGGCATTAGTAGTATGTTAGTGTATATTTTGAAATATTTTGTATTCTATTCTATTGTCTTATACATTGTCTGTGACTTAGACTTTGCTGTTGATCTTTTTTCTATTATCACACTAACAGGGGCAGTGTTAGGGGGTGGGGGTCCAAATTCATATAGGCTATGTTTTGTTTGCCTTGCCCTAAGGAAATATGTTGACGTTTTTCTCTTCTTTTTTTCTTGTTGAAAGAAATTTTAGAATGTCTGTCATCAAATTTAAAATTTGGATGTTAATTTTACTTGTTCGAAATTTTCTGCTAGCTTGCAGAAACATCAGGTCTGACACGCCTCCTTTGCATTTCTTAATGAAAAATAAATTGGTGAAATTTCTTTGTGTCTTGTTGGAAACCTAAAGTAGAAGAATACAAATTTTGCTTTTGTGAACATGCACTTGCTTCTTGAGGCTCTAGGTGAAGAGTAGATTATTAATTTCTATTTCTATTTACATTATTACCTGACCTTAATGTATTATTGATCTTTTCCAGGATAAGAGTGGATCCATTGACAAAAATGAACTCAGGAATCTGTTTGTCGACATGTTTCCAAACTTCCACAGGTAAGTAGTTTAAATAGATATAAAGATGTGTTCCTTTTGTTTGCAAGGAAAATGATTTGATTGTGGATTTTATTATATGGAAAAATTGATTATGAATCGTTGCCGGCTACAGAATTACAGACTTTTTGTACTGACCTTTATATGCAGTTATCTTAATTCCTACAATTATGTGGTTGGCATCAACTACAATATGTAAATGGGGATGTGTTTAGGCCAGAGTCTTAACAGTTCCCCTCATGGTCTCCAGCCGTCACACTGAAACCCAGATTTATATCTTTTATTTTAGGTATTTCAAAATCTCAAAATTTTGCAACACAGAACTTAAAATATACGATTCACAAACCTGATTTCAATTTAATTGAACTTAAATGCTGTAGATATAGATATCTTTCAGATGTCAATGATATGATAGGTCTGTATTAGGGCTCTAAAATTGAGGTTGCGGTGAAGTATTCAAGATTAGGGATACCGAGCGGTTCATAATACAAAAGACAAAATATGACTCACTGACGACTGAGCAAGTTATGTTAGGCTACTTCACACAAAACTAGAATGCTGATCACACTATTGAAATAACAATATAATGAACATTAATTGTCAAAATATCCACAAAATTATAGCTTAGGTACCTTAACCTAAGAACAGGATCTTCCAATGAGCGAGTGAGTTTCTTGTACAAGGAATTCGCCTAAGGGGGAGCAAAAGCTCACTCTCTGAAAGACAGAAACGTCTTTTTCGATTTGGAATCCTACTGCCTCGCTAAAATTACATAGCTTCCTTTACAACTATTTGATAAGTTTGTTTGTTCTTTGCTTTATTAAATCATGTTGTATCATATGCACTTCTTTAGACATGGGACTATAGTGCAATACTTCGGGGGCATAGCTAGATAACTGGTTTATTAACGATCAAAATCATTGAAAATAACAAATAATTGTGTTTATGAAATTAACAATGTCAGTAAATTGTTAGTAGTCATTTTCTGCAGCTTATTATTTTAAAGAATTAATTAGGAAGGAAAGGATGAACAGGTTGAATATTAGTTGGATCAGTTCATTACGTTAAGGCGTTAGTTTAAAGCCTCTCTTCTTATAATGAAGCAATTTATACAATTTATATAATAAAGCAATTTATACCAAGGAGAGTACCACTGTCATTTAATATATAATATATAGCGAAACATAATTAATACTCAATTGTTATAGCTGAGCATCACAGTTCGTTGTACCTTCCACTGCCTTTAAAAAAGCAACCACCTTTCCTATATATTCCTCGTTTCCTAGTAAATGACCTAGATTTTGATTTTTGCTCTTTAGTGCTCTGGACATTCTCCTTCTTTGTCTTTCATATTTTGGGCATGATAATGAAAATTGCTCAATTGTTTCTATCGTCTGGCATTCTACACATAGTCCAGTGTCGTGTTTTCTAATTAGATATTTAAAGTAATTCAGGTTACATTTACCAAGTCTCCTTTAGGTTCAAACCTTTGATTTTAAAAACATTATTTACATTTTTATTGATGCTATACAAGTGTCTTAATTTCTCTGCTTTATCCCAGAGGCTTTGGTACATGGATTTGTAGTAATGGTCTGATTCTCTTATGAACTCACTTTTGCTTTGGTTTACTATGATATCTGTGTGTTGTTTTTTCGAAGCTTGTTTATCCAACCAACAAATCAGCTCGTTCGTTTCCTGCTAGGCCGCAGTGGGCTGGTACCCATTCAAGGTTTACATCAATCCAGAAGGAGTTTATAGCCAGTAATTGTTTGTATATCTCAACCTTTATGCTGGATTCTTTCACATTCTTGATGGCTTCTAAAGCGGAGACTGATCTGTCAAAATCACAACTGCAATTGAATGATATTCATCTATCCATTCAAGTGCCATTAATATAGCTACCAGTTCTGCTCTCATGATGGATAGATGTTTTAAAGCATTTACTTAAGCTTGGCTTTGAGATATAGAAAGCTGCTCCCGTATACCCTTCCTGTTGTTTTGAATCCTCTGTATAGATTCTTAAACAGTGATTCCATTTTTATGCCTCCGTTACGAAGTAGCCAGAGGCATTATGTTTTCGGGTTGTCCGTCCGTCCGTACGTCCCGTTCTCGTGATCGCGTTATCTCAAGAACCAATTGATGGATTCCTGCCAAACTTATGTCATGTATGTATCTTGCAGAGCCGATGAACTGATTAGATTTTGGGGTCATGAGGTCAAAGACAAAGTTCAAAAGTCACAGTGCTCATTATGTATGCAAAAATAGCTTGTGATCGCGTTATTCCAAGAACCGATTGATAGATTCCTGCTCAAATTAGTATGTATCTTGCAGAGCCAATGAATTGATCAGATTTTGGGGTCACGAGTTCAAAGATAAAAGGGTCATACATGTATATGAAAAATAGCTTGTAATCACGATATTCTGAGAACCTGTTAATGGATTACAATTAAACTTGAATTTGAAAAATTGCTTCTGTTTTGGTTTGTGAAAACGCTCTATGGTGGAGGCATCATTTTCGACTGCATACAGTCGGAAGTTCCATCTACCTGTAGTTTCTTAATGACCTCTACAGCATTATTTTTTATTCTATCGATGGAGAAAAATTCTTAAAAACAAAATCCTTTATTTCTGTAGATACTCATGGCATCTTATAGTGCCAATAAGGTGTAATCGTCATGCATTCAGTGAGTTTTTCAATATTCCCTATTTCCAAGTTTCTCAATCTTTTGACGAAAGGACCTTGGTCTATTTTCCATGAGTACCTTTCATATTGGTAATGACTTTTTTGGTCGTATGGTTACTGTTAGCTGCATGTAAATAATAATGATATTTATCAATAAACATATTCTTCTTGAGTTGCAATGACATTTCCTCGCATTCAACTTGTAAAGCTTGTAAAGAAGTTAGATGAACTCCTCCAGTAATAACTTTAAGAGCCTGGAATTGTATGGTGTCTAATATCTTTTTAAGAGAATTACTCGTGCCATCATAAGCTTCACTTCCATAATCTAAACACAGAGCGGATTAAGCCTTTATGAACAAGGTGAAGTATTTCTGAGTTATTGCTCCATTTCGTACCAGCAATACAGGTACACCTCATAAGATTAAGTCTTTTTTTGCATCTTATTGAAATTTCATTTTTATATGTTTACTCGACGTCAATCTCGAGTCGAACCATACTCCAAGGAATTTGTATTCTTTTTCTAATTGAATACTTTTACTATATATCTGTAAATCAATATTTTTCTTTCTGCCAAATACTACGGCTCTGCTCGATTTTGAGGATGAAAGATGCATGCCCCATCTATAACACCACTTTTCAATTAAGCCTAGAGCCGCTTTTTTTTTTTTTTTTTTTTTTACATATGTCAAATTTCGGTGCGAAAACCAAATACATACATCATCAGCATACAATGATATTTCTACAGTATCCTGAATTTGTAATACAATTAATTTAATTATTTAATTAAAAATAACAATACATGGGCCTGCTGGTTGTGCGTAATATAATCAACACAAAAATTCCAACAAAAAAGCCAACATGGGCATTGGCTGAAATACGACGTAAAATGCGCTATTTCTTTTTTTCAACGGCTTTTCAAATTATTGAATATTTGTAGTGGTCGGTACACAAGTATTATAAATCACTATATTTATGGATATTTCAGCCGTCCCCGAACCGATTTTGATCAAAAAAAGATGGTTTTGTCATTTAAATTGTATGTTCTTTCAAATTTGACACTCAGATTTTCATTATCTCACAAAAAATTATTTTGTGTAGTGCCCTCTGCAACAGAACTCAATTATCCCTTTAATAGCCGGAAGATATGTTAAAAAGGGCGGCACTATCGAACTACTGTTCCCATTAGGAAAGTGTTTCTTTGATACCGGTTTCCCAATTATTAAAATGGCGAGATCAAAATTATGTCGAAACAATACATAGGAAGTTATAGAGGGATTTGATTCACTAACAAACCATTGCAAAGAGCTTTTGAAAATAAGAGACAATAGATTGCGCACCATTGAAATAGAGCTTTAGAAATAATTAGGTCTACTTTTTGCTGTATGGTACCATGATACTCGTTTGCACCACTAACTTATTGAATATACATGTACAAGAATTTGGATATTGAATTAGGCATTTGAACAATGCCAAGAACTATTGGAGGTATAAACTTCAAAAAAGGTGTGTGTGCATGTAACCACAGAGGAAGAAGATCTGATTTTTTGTGTAAATATGTGAAAGGTCAAAGGTTGTAATTTTCATGAAATCTCAGGTTTTTAGCCCTGATATCGCAAAGTACATGTATCAAGTATGATTTTGAGCCATGAACTAGGGTGGTGCACACTAATACCAATAAGTGTGTGTCACCATAGTGACACAAATTGATTATATTTTGGGTAAAAGAACGTCAAATGTCTTTTAGTTCTCATCAACATCATGATATTCCAAGAATAATTCAAGCTATGATCTTAACTGAATTTGGGCGGAGGCATATTGGAGATGCAGTCCCATTTGTCTTGTTTTATCATCCTTTTGCTCTCAAAGATAGTCTTTTGATTATCTCTTTCTGCTCTGATATTTTCACTCTTCCCCCTCCCATATTTTCCTTGTGTTTCGTTGTCATAGTGTTATATCTTTCTGTCATTATTTTCATTTTTTTCATTTTTATACTAACAGGAACATGCTAGAAAGATATGTTCAAGATGAATTTCAAGCAGGAGACAAGGATTTCAGCAGTGGTAAGAAAATATCAGACAACATTAGCTGATTTGATTTATAAACAAATTTATGCTTCCTGTGTAATGATTTAGCCTGAAAAATAATATTTTAATGATACGGGATGGCAGCCATTTTAGATTTTCGCAACTAACATGTGTGCCCATAACATATCACAGGGTCTCCTTGGCTAATATTTATATATAAAGTAGATCATAAACAATGTACATGCCAAATTAGGTGCTCTTGTCCACTCTGTCTCAATATTTTCCCTAACCCACCCCACTAGGAGCAACTATTGTACCAAGCTTGCTTATAATTTTTGTTAATTGGTATCAACACATTGATCAATTGTCTTCTTTGAATTTCTTTCCTATTCTTTTTTTTTATCTTTCATTTTATATTTATATTTTATTAGTATTACATTTTGTCTTCCTGTGCTTTACTTTGACAAGTTTCTTGCCACGATTGAGTGCTTGTTTGTCATTGGCATGATTTCACAGACCAACACTAACTATTAATTTTAATCTTGAATTTCTTGATCCATCTTGCCTACTAGTGATTGATTTTGACGAGTTTCTCGCCATGTATCGGAGGCTGTTTGTCAATTGTCGTAGCGTTGTATCGCATGATATCTCAGACATGGTTCCAACATCACCTAAGAAACTCAGAGTATGTTCTACTTCTCTTTTCATTTTCCATTTTGATTTACCATTTTGATTTACAAATTCATTTGAATACAGCTAGGTTTTATTTGAGTAGGGAGTGATTTGATTTTGTTGCTTATACATCAACAAACATGTAATATTGAAAATTCTTTTAAAGATACTACCGGTATGTCCCATTTGCAGGCCCAAAAAATGAAAAGGTTAAATTCCAACGCATTTGAAAGATAATACTAATTTAGAACTTCCCTCAAAACGAAAGGGCTTGAAAATGTCTTTAAGTGGGAAAATAACGACCTTTGGTTGTCAAATCGACTTAAGGGGTGCAATCACTAAAGTAATTGTCCGAATGGTCCTACATTTTGTGCTGCGCAACGATTCAATCAGTTTAAATTTTGGCCATTACAAGAATTTGGCTATTGATGTAGACAAATGCTCATGTACCCTTTACAGCTCATTTTTTTGTATGTTATTACCAAAGTCAGTCAGTCACTCAATAGTGTCTCACAGTGAAGTCTAGAAAGTAAACTGGTTTCCTTGCATAATTTAAATATAAGAACACTGCTAACGTTTAAATTTCACAGATAGGACATACGTGACATGTTCATAATTCCTGCAAAGTTCTACAGAATTTGATGTTGGCTGCAAATAGGACATGGTACCTTTAATGTAGGGGGCTATTAAGTTGATTCATTAATTTGTATAATAGAACTTTGACTTTAATGAGTTATCATTGGTTGAAAAATGGTTGCACATTCTCTAATCAATTGTGATATATTGCATTGGCCTATTTTCTAGATACAAAGTTGAGATTTACAACAAAAACTTAGTTTGCGATGGATGTCAAATCAAACTCTTATTTCTGATACATATATATGTATATATATATGTATATATATAGATGTGTGAATGTATGGTAATCATATTAGAGTAATAAAGTATAAATCATAGACTACGGACATATAAGCCTTGTTTTTCGATGAATATTACTGCTTTTTCAGAATTTCCTTGAAAATGTTATGGTCCATTAAGAGCCAGAAGGGGCAAACTTGTGCACTATATTAAATACAAAGGGGACGTTACATCCTGCTATGACCCCGAGGCGCACCGAGGGGTCATCGGCAGGATGTAACGTCCTCATGAACCAGTCTAGAAACAGCTATTTTTCGAATATTAAAGCAGTCCATATATCTTTTATATACCGAATTCATTAAAAAATCTACAAAGAATTCTTACCTTATCCTTTTCTTGAGTAAAGAATGGTTAAAACATCACAGGATATCTGAGACACTGTCTTAAAATCTTTGCTGGAAAGTTGCCTGAATGTTACGATGATTCGAGAATCGCATACACACTGCACTGTATTTTGTATCTGCGCTCGCACAAATAAACTTTTTACACTTAAACAAAGGGGATCTCAGCAATTAAAAAACCTAAAATGTAGAGACCAAATCGCACAAACACTGTATGGTGTCCGCGCTCGCTCATAGAAAAATTTTACATGTAAACCAATGGGGATCTCAGCAAAATTTATTTATGCGGCCTGTAGCCCAAGGAAAAGGGCATCTTTAAAGAAAACTATTGACCGGTAGGCGGGAATTTTTAAAAAAACTATTGACAGGCATGGCTTAAATCACGACTCCAAGTTTGACTAGTCAGATGACTAGATTTATTCAACATACTAATGGGAGATATAAAATAACAATTATGATTGATATCAGCTACTGAACTTGTTTTTTTTTATAATAGCAAGGTCGTGTATTCAACAAGACAGAGAGATAATTTTAAGTTTGGGGTTAAAAATATATATTTTTAATGTATTTAAAAACAATAGAAGGTCATGGATTATCAGTACATCTATGCATGCCTTCTAAAGTGGACTTTAGAAAAATATGTACTGGAACATTAACATGTACATGTGGGCCCACATGTAGTTCTGTTATCAAGCTTTTGAGAATTATTGTGTAAAGTATCTAAATCCTAGCGTTTTGCCTTTTACAATCCCTTTATTCTACTCAGCAACATAATACAAATTCACAAGGAGACCAGAAGAAAACAGAAGACAGCTTGAGAAAGCTAGAGGATGACATCTTCTCTCCACTAGGCAACAGAGGGCAGCGTTCAACAAAGTCTGGTAGTCACAGTGACGACAGTGATGCATTTTTTGATGATCCACTACCCGTTGGTGGCAATGCATTCGGGAGCAGGTGAAATATGACATTAAAGTCAATCTCGTTTATCTGTAGCAGGGCCCTCACTGAATTTTAGAGTAAATAAAGATAATCATTAGATTTTACATAAAGGTCAGAATAATGTAGGTTACTGCTTATTTCGAGCATTGTCTTCATAAATCTGAAGTTTTAAGAAGAAATCAGTGTGATTGTTAACATTTTTAGATGAGTTTCAATATGTTATTGTATTGGACCAGCAGAAAATAAGAAGAGAGAGAAAAGAAAAGAAAGAAAAGTGAAACTCGGATGAAAACTTTGTTTTTAAGTATAGCTGTAAACAGGTTGCCTCTATTTTGATGTGGTCATGGTGAAATTCCCAGCCAATTCTGGAGGCCTACATACTACAAAGTTTTGGTATGGGGTCATGAATTTAGTTTGAATGAACATATTGGAAGCATATGTGATTTTATAATATTTGATGATCGTTGTCGCGGTTGAAGTCTAAAGTGATGAAATTGTAAATAATAAATTCTTTATGTTGTATAGCACCCTCTCAAGACTGATGTTACTTTGGCTTTAAACAATATTTCTTGACAACAATCAACCAATTAGCTATTCCCTTTTGAAAAATATATATCAGAACTGCATATTATGACATTTCATGGTCGCAGCTACTATGGAATGGCCTAAATCGCTATTTGAAATTTACCGGGAGCACTGGTAAATTTTTGATTATTCAATATCTCAAGAGCAGAAGTGTTTTAGGGGCTAAATTTTCTAGTCCTTATAATTCATCCACAGGAGCATCCACTTTTCAAAATTTCCCCAAAGTTTGCATTACCTTTAATACACAGGCATTGATATACATGTAATTTGTATTGTAGCATTTCTTAATGATTATACATACAAGCAATTTTCAATTTTCTTTACCACTAACATGACTGACATAAAGCTTACACATGTATTTTTACTTAGCAGGAATCAGAAACAAGCCCCGCCCTCCTCTCCACCCAGGAGCCCTACCAAACCAAGCTCTCTCAGCTCACTCAACAATGCCCCACCCCTTGGAGGTGGGGGTGGTCTGGGAGCACTCCCTCCCCTCAATGTAGGAGCTGGAGCAAAAGGTACATGTATGTCTTTATAGCCTCACTTTTGTTTTCTGTGTTTGAACAATCTCAGGTAGCCCAGTTGGTGTATTCATTACATGAAAAGTGAAGACATTTTTTGGGTGGTCGTAGTAAACCTAGTAAACCTTATTAACGCTTCAGTATTGATTGCCAATGCCTGTACTGTTAGTTTGTCAACGGTAATACAAATGGCATGATATAAACTCTTCATCAATTTTTTTTCATAGAATATATCTTGTGTCGGGGTACTTGTACTTGTAATCCAACATTTTTATGTCTCTGTTACGAAGTAGCTGGAGGCATTATGTTTTCAGGTTGTCTGTCCATTTGTACGTCCCGTTCTCGTGATCGCGTTATCTCAAGAACAGAGCTAATAAATTGATTAGATTTGGGGGGTCATGAGGTCAAAGGTCACAGTGTTCATCATGCATGCAAAAATAGCTTATGATCTCAAGTACTGATTGATGGATTCCTGCCAAACTTGGGTCATATACCGTATGTATCTTGCAGAGCCAATAAAGTGATTAGATTTTGGTGTCACGAGGTCAAATTTCAAAGTTAACATGGCTCATTATGTATGCATAAATAGCTCGTGATCGCATCATTAGAACCGATGGACAGATTACCATCAAACGCAGGACATGTATGTGTCTTGCTGAGCCAATGAACTAATCAGATTTGGGGATCATGAGGTCAAAGGTCATGGGGCTCATTATATATGCAAAAATAGCTTGTGATCGCATTATTATTAGAACTGATGGACGGATTACCATCAAACTCAAGACATGTATGTATCTTGCAAAGCCAATGAACTGATTAGATTTTAGGATCATGAGGTCAAAGATACAAAAGGGTCATACATGTATATGAAAAATAGCTTGTAATCACGATATTCTGAATACTTGTTAATGGATTACAATTAAACTTGAATTTGAAAAATTACTTCTGTTTTGGTTTGTGATATCGCTCTATGGCGGAGGCATCATTTTCGACTGCATGCAGTCGAAGTATCTAGTTTTTTTTTACTGCACACCCCTCCATTCCTAACATACACCTTGAAAAAAGCTCAGGGCTTTACATGCATACATGTACACTACATGTATCTCTTGTTTGTTATCCGCTCGCCGACGAAGTCGAAGGGGATATACAAAGCTGCCAACTAGTACGGATTTCCCGTAATTGGTACGGAAATTAACGGCCATGACGGAATGTTGTCTCAAATTACGGATTTTTTTTTTTTTTTTTTTTTTTTTTTTTTTTAAATATGATTTATCCTAACGAGTGCTGTGAAGTATGGCGGCCTCCAACACTCGCTGAGAAAGACGGAAAAGTATCAAGTATTCTCTTAATAGGAGCCATTTTTCATGGAAAACTGTGTTGTGATGACCTGAAACTCAATATTTAACAACTTTGTGTGAGTAAAGTCACCAAAAATTTCAGATAATCATGCGTCCGCGCAGTGTTGGCGTGCGTTTTTTTTTAGATTCATAGCGCAGCATAGGAAATTACTGATTTACACCTAAAATTACTGATTTTGAGCCTTGTGATTACTGATTTTCTGTTCTGGAGGTTGGCAGCTCTGGATATAGTAACACTGCCGTCCGTCCTTCCTTCCTTCTGTCCGTGCGTCCGTAACAAATTTGGTTTCCTATCGATAACTTCAGTAACGTTTGACGGATTTTATTGAAATTTGATAAAAAGGTACATGGACAGCCTAAGTTTGATTTCTGAGTATGTAGGTCAAAGGTGAAAGGTCGTAGCTCATTAAATATGCAAAACCACCTAATTATATATGTGAAAATTTGGTTAACTTCCTTGCCTAGTAATATAATAGTATAGTCCAATGGAGGTAACTTGTTCTGATGTATATAGGCCATTTGTACCCTGCGAGGGGATGCTACGCTTTGCATTGAATTGTTGTTGTGGTTACAGTTTCCCGCAGCCCAGACTGGGGTGATCTGGATGAGATAGACAGTAAGATTGCCAAGATGGGTTTCGACTCGTCGCAGAAGAGTGAGTCTTCTATCAAATCTGGTGGCAGGAGTGAAGCCAGTTATGAAGACGACTTCCAAAGGTAAGAATTGGTGCAATCAGATACATTTCTGTGGATTTTATTTTGTCAAAGATTTAGGATGAGGATTATTGTTGTCCAAGGAGTCCCACCCAGTACGAACCTATGAGCCTAGCCTCTTTGGCTCTGCCTCAACTGTCTTAGGGGTTGGACGATGCAAAGCTCTAATGCAGATGTGTGGGAAGAAGACAAAGAAGAAGAGGGCGAGATTACATGTTAGTTTTGTGGTATGGTTAAGAGATGGTATACTGTTAGGTTTAGAGTTGAAGAAAGTAATTATTTGGTTATGGTAAGGTCATGAACCGATTAGATTCTGTGTGTAATTGGTCAAAGTCCACAGGGTCGTAAAAGTGTTTTAAAATACCAGAAATACCAAAATTAAATAAAAAGCATTTGGTTTTGTGAGGTCAAATATTAAAGGTTACAGGAGGCATTTAAGTGATACAGTCTTATAATAATCTTTTTTTTTATTATTTAAAAAAAGAAAATTTTTGTAGGAGCTACCATTCTCTTTTTTCATTGGGTTAGGGACATCCAATTGTGATAAAGTAATATTTCATTTTTAAGCTGCAAATCTCATCCTTATGTCCAAAATGTTTCTGGTAACCTTTTTGGAGGTTCTGTGGTACCTGGTCACGTTTTGTTTCTTCTAATTATACTGATAATTTTACTTCTGGTTTTCACTATGTAGTTCGCAGGACAGTCCTAGCCAGACACCAAGGGGAAGCAACAGCCAGCGTAGCAACACAGCCAGTATCACAGAGGAGATCTCTGAAGAAATATCTGGTGATGACAGTTTCCTAGCAAGCAGTCAGGATAATGTGAGGCATCTTCTTTTAGGGAATAAATCACTCCTCGGTATATTTTGTGTATTGTTTAAATTGACAACAGACTTTAAATGCCCTTTTCTCTAAAGTAACATTCTTTGGGACTGGACATTCTCCTTTTTCAATTGGTAAGGAACATCCAATTGTGATGAGTTATATATCATTTTGAAGCTGAGAATCTGCTCTTTTAGAATCGGACCTAAACTGAAAGATCATATTTGGCGACGTTTTGTGATGCCGGGTCACATTCGGTGTATAGTTGTCCAATATCCATTTGGTCTAACATGCATTTAGGCTAAAATAATTTCATCTAATATTTACTAAGTCTCGTCATCACTACCTTGTCCGTTGACCATTTTCTCTTAATTATTATATAACTATTTCATTTAATGCCCATTGGATAATACTCATTTTATCCATTATTTTAGTTTGCTATCTATTTGTCCTATAAGTTATACTTATAAGTAGTAATTTTAATTGTAACTGATTTAAACTTATGTAATTGTGAAAATATTTTGAATTTTTTGATGCTGCTAATCTTTAAAAAAAAAAAAATTGTCTAAATTTAGCTTTTTAATCTGCTGGGTAGTGTCAGAATTTTTAAATGGCATTTTGCAGGTTTAACAATACAGAAATAGCCCTTTCAGTGGATTCTAAATTTTAAGGCTATGCTGGTTACCCTGCAAATATGATTGTTGATAGGTTGTCAAAAAATACTTTTCTTTGCATCGTCACAGTATTTTAATGAATTTCAGGTTAATTATAAAGTTGCTAGACACAAGCTACTGTGTGGCCACTGAACAAGATGAATCTGATAGGCTACTGTACAAAGGCCCAGGCATATAATAGCCTTAAAGCCTATCTGCACTAGTTTGGCCAGGAGGGATTAGACCTCCCTGCGTGGTCACTGACAGGTGGTTATCTCATCAAATCAGATATCAATTAACATAAGAAAAAGGGGACCATGGGGGATCAACATGTACCGCTTAGGCATTGTTGGCTATATAGAGGGTGCAAGTAGATGGAATGTGTATAGACCAAATAAAATTGAATTATGGATTGAATTATACCTAGACCAAATGGTTTTTGGATTACTGGTAAGACAAAATGGCAATTGGCCAATAAAACTATTCGATCAAATGGCAATAAACCTATCAAAATGGCTTTAGACACAGATAACAAATAAACAGAGAAGTTACCAAAAAAAGAATTACAAATGCAGGCTATTCTTGATGACGAAATTTGCTAAAATCATCAAATACTCGATTTGCACTAGTGGACTGCGACGTATGCGGTCATTTTTTAAGCAGTGTGCATGCGCATCGACGAGCTCATTGTTCAAACGCGTTCCCCCTTATTTTGCAGTCGTTTGAAATCTGTCACAAAATGGACCCAATTAATCTTATTCTGCAAGCGAAGAGTTGCGGAAGCCTAAGCTCTCTAAAATTAACACATTCTCTCGTCTGTAATTTCCCTTATAAATTGTTGCAGATTAATCCATAAAATGAACACAGTTTATTCATGCATCGCCAATTTGTTGCAGCATACTTATCAAGGACAGTCCCATGCACCGAATTCGTTGTTGGATCTTTAGCTTTTCGATCAAATTTTGTGCAAACACTAACATTGTGCATGACGTCACTGAGCGAGCATTGCCGTCGTGTGAAAACGAAAAAGTAATGAACTACAGTCAGCGTGCCTTATAAACCCTGCTTAAAAATGACTGCATACGTAGCAGTCCACTAGTGAACGTGCAAATCGAAAAGTCCCTAATGAACAAGTATAGTAGGCATGTATAGCAAAACCTGTTTCAGCAAACACCTCTCTATTATAAACACATTATTGGTGTCCCTTGAATAGTGTTTGCGTAGAAATGTGTACTAAAGGAACCTGTACATTAAAAATTAACTCCATACAAAGATTGTATTCCTTGAGTGGTCTTTATGTGCAGGTTTAATTATATCCCCCGGCAGTATGCCGGTGGGGTACTTTGGATTCAGCAGTGTTACGCCGCTGCCGCCGCGTCCTTGAATTGAATTGAATTGATTTATTGTCCAAAACAAATGGAAATTCATTGTTCACTGGTACATGTGTGTTACAGAGAAATGTAAAAAATTAGACAGATTATAAAACATAATAACAACATAACATCAATGGCGTTTCATCTAAGAAATCATATTCTAACTGCCACATTCCTTGATGGATTTCTTTCAAATTTAGTATGGAGGTGTATAGTGGTATAATATACACACCTATATCTTTTGGTAATGCTACCACCAGTGTTTGTCTATTATAGGGTCAAAGGTCATATTTTGGTGATTGTCTAGTGTGCGCTGTGCTCTGCAGGTCAAATTTTGAATGGAGATGTATTTTGTATTGTATTTATTCAACTTCATTGATGTACATCGATATTCTGTTTATGAACATATAAATCAATTTACAATGTAATGTAACAAATCAATATTCTGTTTGGAAACATATATACTGTTTCAATCAATTTACAATGCAGTGTTTATAGCAAAACAGAAGGAAAATTATATCCAGCAGAATCAGTCTTTTTTTTCTTTTTGTAATAACATGACATAATGCATATAGTAATATAATGTATCCAAAGATTTAGATGTACATGTATCTTGGTACAATCTACACATCTACACTTTTGGGCGATGCTGCCCTCATTGTTCCATCTTTTACATGGTCAAAGGTCATATGTCTTTTATGCGCTCTAACTGCCACATTTCTTGACAGATTTCTTTGAAATGTTTTATGGAGGTGTGTCTTGGTACAATCTACACATCTGTAGTGATTGGTGGTGCTGCTGCCACCTGTGTCCCGTCTGTTAAAGGGTCAAAGGTGTCTTTAGTGTGCTCTAACTGCCACATTTCTTGACAGATTTCTTCCAAATTTTCTAAAGAAATGCATTATACTCTAATCTACACACATATTGTTTTGGTGATGCTGCTCCTAGTCTTGACAATAGTCCGAGCCACTAGTGGCGATCTCTACGTCATCTTCTTGTTTCAGGGAGGGGAGAGGGGATCTTTGTCCCTCCTTCGAACATATGGATGACACAAAATCGCTGCCACTGCCGAGGGATACATTCGCATTGCACGGCAATACAGATTGCAATATTTCTAGTTTGATACACCAGTCCTTTTATCACTAGGCGTTGTGGCATGCGCCTGTAATCCAGCTAACAGTGGAAGTTACAAACTGATTCAGCCGAGGACGCAGGTTCAAAACTGAGTCACGGCTTTTGGATGTTGACGTTTAAAGGTCGTCCCCCAAACGTAAATAATCATATCTGATTGATACACGTCCGTAAAATCTCAATACACACACCCTGCTAGGAAACATAATGAATCAAACTTTCTGTATTACAGCTTGATGACCAAACGTCAGACCACACCGTGTCGCAGCTGAGCCAGAGTGGTCCCTTTGATTATATGGAGGAAGTACGCTCACCGACCGGCTTATGACAGTCAAAACCAGGAGACAACGACCATAAGGACAGCAAAACCAATGGCAATGGTGTCTTTGGATGGCCAGTGTAGAGCTGATTGTTTTGCAATTCTTTATAGTGAACTGTTGAAGTGAAAGCCGCATAACTTTTTGCCAGATTTATTACTCAGATTTAGTTCAACTACGGTATGTACTGAGTGGCAATTGTCAACCTCTTCATCCTGTACATGTCTCTCTAATTCTTCGTTGTAATTAGAAAAATGAAAATTAGTATGTATGAAATTTATTTTACATATTAATTTCATGAAAAAATGTATATATTATTTATTTATTGCGTTATATAATGACACTAACGTATAATGAACTTACAGAGTTAACACGTGGCCTTCCATAAATCATTGGTCTACGTTTTAGGCCAGGTTTCACTTATGCTACTTCCAGGAATATTTGTCAGTACAGGCAGCCAAATATCTGCAAGTATAGGATAGGTTAGTATATAGTTTTGTACGTAAAGTAAGGTAATCTTTGTGTACAGGGGGGTTTCGAGATAAAGCAGCAATATAGGTTTTTTTAATATCTACTTTTGAAAAATATACATGACTGTGTGGATATCGGCTGTATAGGAGGGTATATTTAAGATGAACCATTTTGTATGACAAACTTTTAGTGTCTTCTCTATCCTTTCACTGCACTGTCAGCACCTTCTTATGTACTAGTAACACGGCTGTCGTTGAGACATAACGTCTTCCCATCAAAATATAGTTTTATTGACAAGCTTGTCAACAGAAGCCCTGTATGTACTAGTGCACTACAAGTGTTCATATGACTGATATGGATCTGTAAGTACAGTGAAACCCGCATCAGCAACAGCCTGTCTACAAAGACCACTGTCTATAATGACTATTATCAACTTTCAGAGATCTATTTATTTTATATTGTTTTAATAATTTAAGACGAATAGTCCTTATTGTTGTTTACAACTTTTGTTTCTAAATGCCTGTGTAATGAAACCCCAGACAAGTAGATGTAGGAAAGCAAATAATCATCAACATCCATGTTTCCAAAAGCCTGTTCAAATTAATTTTTCCCTTGCCAGAAAAGTGTGCCGTTAAATAAAGATCAAAGCCTATTAACAAATACATATTCAAAAAAAAATTCAACTTTTACTTGTTCAACTTTTGTTGAAAGTCATTTGGAAAGATGATGTGATGCAAGATTTATAGGTGGCCAAATTTGATTAAATTTCCTTAAAATTACTCCTCTGCTGTGAAGATACCACCATTTTTATCGCCAAAAAGAATAGAATCATAGATAACTATTCTGCTGAAATACATTCATGTTCATGGCATAAATGGAATTTGGTCCAAGGATCAAACAATGAAGTATGTGTGGTTTCATATAATAATATTGTGTCAAAATATACGGGGTGTCTAAAAAAATTCAAACAAGATTTTGAATGGCAATGTACAACACCATTCTCAAAGAAATTTCTTAAATTATATTGTAGCAGAATCCCTTCGTTTTACTGTGGATTTTATGACTATTTAAGCTAAAACAACAAAATTATTCTTGTTTTTGTAAGAGTAGCATTTTTAGCTCATCCGGGCCCCTAGTTGTATTAGGGCCCCTTTTAGTTCTTATATGTATCTATTATACCGTCCTATTTGCTGAATTTGTCACTCTTGGTTGATGACACTGTTGTTTTACATTCGCACACAAATATTTCTACTCATTTATCTACAATGAATAAAGAATTACAAATGTTAAATTACTGTCAAATGTAACAAGCTATTTTTGAACTTTAAGAGAACAAAGTTTCTACTTTTCCATTCTAAAAGAAAAAGAGTTTCATCAAATATTGACCTGACAAGAATTAAAAATACTATTATTCAGGCCTGATAAAAACCCGATTTAAATCGGTTTCCCGATTTTTTTTATTTTTCCCGATTTTTTCCCGATTTTTTTTTTCTTCCCGATTTAAAAAAAAAAAAAAAAAAAAAAAAAAAAGTTTTTTTTTTTTTTTTTTTTTTTTTTTTACCAGATTTTTTTTCTTCTTCCCTTTTTTATCCTGATTTTCCTGATTCCCCCCTTATTTTCTCTATTCTTCCCTATTTTGCCCTATTTTTTTCTCCCAATTTTCTTACTCGAAAGGGGGGAATGTTGTTAGATGCCGTTTTTTCCCCGCGAATCGCCTTTTTTTTTTTACTCAAGGGGGGCGTGGTTGAGGGGAAAACAAAAAACCTATTTTTTTTTTAGTGCTCACTATCACCCCTGATTATTGAAAGAACTGGATCAGTATTTTCATAGTGTAATATGCTTTTTCATGAGTCACTGTACCGGAAGATATTACATTGCTTAAATATCCTCTAAGCTTTTCAGAAGTATAGTGTTATCCAAACGCAAATATTTTCTACCCTGCGAAGTAATGATCAATATTTATAATGCTTCCATTTTTAATACCACACCTCAATAATTGTAAATCATTTATCTGGCAAAAACATGTCAAACACTATTTGGCAGTTCTAAACATGGTTTCGCCAATAAAATTAAGGTGTTAAATCTCCCTTTTAAATAATGGTATAGTCTCCTAATTGGACGATACCATTATGTAAAGGGGGGTTTTGCCTTTTGGTTAAAAAAAAAGAAAGAAAAAAACGCCTCAAATGGCGCTATTTGAGCGATTTGGCAATTTATATGCGCAATTTGAGAGTTCAACACATCGTTTTCCAATTTGCAAAAAAACCAAAGATGAGAGACATAAACAGATGACAACAGAGGAGACAATACCATTCTTCTTAGAGAAGATATTTGCACTAACAAAAACGCCTCAAATGGCGCTATTTGAGCGATTTGACAGTTTATATGCGCGATTTGAGAGTTTCCAGTTTGCAAAAAAAAACAAAGGATGAGAGACATAAACCGATGACGAAACAGGTAAAGTAGCTTGAGCGCTACGCAATAATATCATTTAGGATACAATACCATTCTTAAGGGAAGATATTTGCAATTTGGATGAAAAACTATCAAAAACGCCTTAAATGACGCTATTTGAGCGACTTGACAGTTCTTAACGTGGTTTCGCCATTTTTACACATAAACCAATAACATTAATGTGTAAATCTCCCCTATAAAGTAATGGAATAGTCTTCTTATTGATATAAACGGACGATACCATTATTTATAGGGGGTTTTGCCATTTTGATAAAAAGCTAACGAAAACACCTCAAAAAGCGCCTATATACACTATTTGGCAGTTCTAAACATGGTTTCGCCATTTTTACACAAACCTAGAATCGGACGCATTAACCAATAAACTTAACGTGTAAATCTCCCCTATAAATAATGGAATAATCTTCTTATTGATATAAACGGACGATACCATTATTTATAGGGGGGTTTGCCATTTTGATTAAAAAAACTAACGAAAACACCTCAAAAAAGCGCCTATATACACTATTTGGCAGTAACATGGTTTCGCGCCATTTTCACACAAACCTAGAATCGGACGCATTAACCAATAAAATGGACGTGTAAATCTCCCCTATAAAATAATGGAATAGTCTTCTTATTGATATAAACGGACGATACCATTATTTATAGGGGGTTTTGCCATTTGGATAAAAACTAACGAAAACGCCTCAAAAAGCGCCACTATACACTATTTGGCAGTTCTAAACATGGTTTCGCCATTTTCAAACACACCTAGAATCGGACGCATTAACCAATAAAATTATGTTAAGGACGGGACAAAATGCAAGGGGGACCCTTGCATACTGTGATTACATAGCTTGCAAGGGGGGACCCTTGCATTCTGTGTCGTCCTTAACATGTCATGAAATGATCTATTTTCATTTATATATAGGATCAGTCTATCCAAACTATGTAATCGCAGATCATTCCTTGAGATGTTAAGGACGGGACAAAATGCAAGGGGGGACCCTTGCATTCGGTGTCGTCCTTAACATGTCATGAAATGATCTCTTTTCATTTCTATATAGGAGTGTATGATCAGTCTATCCAAACTATATAATCGCAGATCATTCCTTGAGATGTTAAGGACGGGACAAAATGCAAAGGGGGACCCTTGCGTTCTGTGATTTCATAGTTTGCAAGTGGGACCCTTGCATTCTGTGCCGTCCTTAACATGTCATGAAATGATCTATTTTCATTTCTATATAGGAGTGTATGATCAGTCTATCCAAACTATGTAATCGCAGATCATTCCATGAGATGTTAAGGACGGGACAAAATGCAAGAGGGGACCCTTGCATTCTGTGATTACATAGTTTGCAAGGGGGACCCTTGCATTCTGTGTCGTCCTTAACATGTCATGAAATGATCTCTTTTCATTTCTATATATAGGAGTGTATGATCAGTTTATCCAAACTATGTTATCGCAGATCATCCATGAGATGTTAAGGACGGGACAAAATGCAAGGGGGGACCCTTGCATTCTGTGTCATCCTTAACATGTCATGAAATGATCTCTTTTCATTTCTATATAGGAGTGTATGATCAGTCTATCCAAACTATATAATCGCAGATCATTCCTTGAGATGTTAAGGACGGGACAAAATGCAAAGGGGGACCCTTGCGTTCTGTGATTACATATAGTTTGCAAGTGGGACCCTTGCATTCTGTGTCGTCCTTAACATGTCATGAAATGATCTATTTTCATTTCTATATAGGAGTGTATGATCAGTCTATCCAAACTATGTAATCGCAGATCATTCCATGAGATGTTAAGGACGGGACAAAATGCAAGGGGGGACCCTTGCATTCTGTGATTACATAGTTTGCAAGGGGGTCCCTTGCATTCTGTGTCGTCCTTAACATGTTATGAAATGATCTATTTTCATTTCTATATAGGAGTGTATGATCAGTTTATCCAAACTATGTTATCGCAGATCATTCCATGAGATGTTAAATGACGGGACAAAATGCAAGGGGGGACCCTTGCATTCTGTGATTACATAGTTTGCAAGGGGGACCCTTGCATTCTGTGTCGTCCTTAACATGTCATGAAATGATCTCTTTTCATTTCTATATAGGAGTGTATGATCAGTCTTTTAGCCCAAACTGAAAACAACCAACAATTTCAGGTACAATGTTTTTGTATTCTCTTTAAAAGTATCTTATAATCTACGTTTAGCAACGAAATCGGTCGGTAGGCTAATTCTTCACAAGCTTGGATCTTTGCCATCTTTAAAGGTAGTACTGCTTGCCTTTGAGAGGCTCATAATTACGCTCGTTGAAGAGCTTCATTAAAACTGGCCGAAATTTCTGATAAAATTCTACACTTAAACCATCTTTTCCTGGAGATTTTTAAAGTTTCATATCTTTTAGTAGTGTTATGCATTCCCTTTCTTCGATTGTTTCCTCACATGATTCTCGTGATACAATTATCGTTCAATTTGGCAGGGTATTAGGAAAGAAGGTTAGTATAAAAAGTGTCATCTTGTATAGAATCTATTTGCTTTATAATAGCTGCCTATAGAATGATTTTATTCCTTCAATAATTTCATTTTCGTTAAAAGTGGTATTTCCATTTATATTTAATTTCTGTATTATACTTTTTTTTCTATTTGATTCCACTAACTGTTTGAAGAATACTGTATTCTTTTCTCTACATTCTGTTGTGTAGTATTGTCCCAAAACCCAGTGGGTTATATAGTACCCTCATAATTATTTGAGATGCACTTAAAAGCAAAGTTTATATCTTTATAATCCTTCCCAATAGAAAGACCAAGTGCATTCACAATCCCCTTCCCAGGAAAGACCACCTCTGTTATGTTTATAAGCCTCATACATAAAACTACGAAGTAGTCCATTGTTTGGCGGCTCTCATTCATGCCTTTGTCCCTTTGACAGAATGTAACCTACCCTCATATTACTTGTATCCTTCTGGATAAATATAGCTTTCTGAGGAGAGTTGAGTTTTGATCACGATTAGATCAAGACCCTCTTTCTAGCTGGCTCTCTCTTCATCCTGTGTTTTACATAATTATGTGGAAGTTTGTATGATGTGACCGATTTGAGTCTCCAAAGTTTGAAGATAATAAATACTCTTGATATGACTCAGGAATTACAAGTCTCTCCTTGCTTCTTCATAATATTTATGTACCTCTCCTACTGCCTATAACCAAATACACCGATCCCAACACGACAATTCATACCGAGTTTGATTTACGTTCAGACCTTCATTGATGTAATAATATCGTAAAGTAAACTTGTTGTTTCTTAGTTTTCAATTTTTCAAAAATCTTTTGTGGATTATGTGTCCGTTGCCAATCGACAATCACTTTAGCCCCCCTTGGACCTTGGTTTAGGTGGCTATAATAATTTCAAAATCTTTCTGTGATATGAAACAAACCTCACAGCCCTCCTACCCAAAGAAGAGTACATGCAACCAATAATAAGAAAGAAAAACAAAAGAAAAACAAAACTATATACAACCACAAAACAAAGTACCAAACCTTACAAATAAAAGAAAACCGTCCGTCACTAAGTATTTAGTCTCCTGATAGCAAGACCTTTCCAAGCACTTTGAATATCGAATTTCTAACTTCACTCCGCTAATCATATCATTGATCAAGCGTTTCATATATTTTAAAGAAAGAAAATACAGGGGGGGCAATGTGATTGTTATTGTAATTGAAAAATGAAAATATGATTGTTCCCATCCCTGCTAATTCATGGTTGTATCGCAGGCGGTTGGTTGTAAAAGTTCTGAAATGTTTTTTTATATTATCTTAAACCATGGACTATATAGCCTTAAAGATATATAGACCGATGAGTGGTAAAATTGCGGTTCAAGGGTGTTGGGTGCAAAATATCAATTCAATATTGTTTAAATATTGCCTTCAGAGGTAAGAGGTTTAGATGATGGCAATACATCAATCTAAATTCACAACAAAGCATAAATATATGCCCAAATGTTAAATCAGTTAAGTGCATTCGCGATATCTGTTCAGGCCGGATCGACATGATAATTTACCCTTGAAAATGGTTTCTCATTGAATCATGTAGTAAAGGAATCTGTCTAGACCACCTGTCCGAAGGCCACTTTTTTGTGTTTCCCTTAATGGTCGCTATAGACAGGTTTGAGTGTATATCAATTAGTAGGCGGTTTCCAGGCAACATTTGTATCATCACGTATTTAGTCAAAACATATTCTTTCACATGATAATTGGTAATCACAGCTTCCTTTTGAGAGGGGCGTTTCCAAAACGCTCTAGAATTTCGACCAATACCCAGACATTCGTTGATGTATATTTTATTTGATGGTTCTTTTGTCAACTCAATTGTGTAAATCCCGTTCATGTGTCTTTCTGGAAATAAAATAATTACATAATTCTTTCCATTAAAAAAAAAATATATAGACCCTATCATTGATCGAGCGATATATAGCACCGAATTAATTATGCACCGCCTATATACCGAGAGCACTGCAGCATCTGCATGCACGTTAATTAAGTAAACAAGTGCACTCCATGCTTCAGACGAGTGGGACTGAGTGTTGTGGGGACTTTGGTCATTTTTTAAAACAATTTTTTTTTCTCATTCTTGCACGACTCCAAGTTTGCTTAAATAATTCATGATATCTTTTCCTAGAGAAAAAAGGAAACAAGATGGTGAATCCCGATAGTTTCTTTTTTAAATACGGTTTGTCAGCATGTGCTGCGACGGTAGCAGAAACAGGTGAGCCAAACTTGTGCGGCAGCCCGGTTGCACTCCCGCTGAGCTAGGCGAGATCAGGAGGCCAATGTCCCTATCTCTCCACGCGCGCTGCCACAGCCATACATAGGGAACCACATCACGAGTATTTACTATTAATATGGGCGACTGCACTGTATGTTATGGATGATTTTGTTTTGTTGAAATTATATGATTTTGGTACAGCAGACTATTCAGAAGGTCTATGATGTGTGAGATGATAGGGATAGGGAATATTCATTAAATGTCCAAATAAAGATCATGAGTTAAAAGTCGTTAATAGACCTACCTGTTTTGTGTCAATTTATTTGTTATTTTTGGAACTATATTTCGGAATAACTTTGATATTAGTATACACTTTTTCACAGGTTTCACAGCGAACCGCTGCACAATACAACTTAGGAGTGCATACCGATGGTGGGTTAATTGCGGGCGGGCGCGCGCCTGTGTGAAGTTATCTACCGTAATGAGGATCTGTAACAGATAACTTCACACAGTTTGCCATGAAACCTGTGAAACATATGGAAAACTTACGCGCATCTGCTCTGCGCCTCGTCGCTTATCCTGTTAAGCATGGGGAACGTACACCAAAAAAGCCATATTTTGATATAATTGCTGGTATTACGGGAAAATGGAAATTTAAAAAAAAAAATCTTCGGACGGTTTCTTATAATTTGAAATGTCATCTTAAAAATAATACTAATTTTGGGATTATTCTTTCAGGGGAAACGGTTGCCATTTTCCCCTAAAAGTTTTGACTTTTTCAGCCTGCCTATGGAGATTGCACTGTTTTTCCCCTTTTTTGTCAGGTTTCGCTCAGTCAACCAGTCGGCAAATCTTACACGAGTGACATATAAAAAATCTTCGGACGGATTCAGAAACCTTGACATCCCACCTTTACGTTGGTATACCGATTGTTTTCATTTGTGGAGGGGAAACGGTTGCCATTTTCCAACCAATAAAAAGTAGCTTTTCATAGTAAACCAAGGTGACTGGGATAGTGTAGCGCTATAGCTACTCACAACGAGTGCGCCCGTACCGTACAAACAATGCACAGTTATAGCTTCCGTGCATTCGCTGTAGAGGTCAGTGTGTGTATTTAACGCAGTGCGTACATAGTGTGTGCGTTGCGCTCAAAATCTCGGAGACCGCATCATGTCGATGCATGCGCACCCGAATGGGTCATTGCACTCCAACTAGAGGGAAGTCAGTATAATCATTGGCAGAGGGAATGAGTTCGATTTTGTCTACGGTGTGATGGCAAGCCTCTGCTGGTGTAGTCTACCGTAATTTTGCATGTATTTAACTAGGTGAGTTTCATTTCTAATTCTAGTTTGTTAGTGTTAGTAAGTAGTCAACGAGAGCAAGCGCTCGCACCCCCGCTTTGTCGCATTGGACTAGTCCGATCAGTGTACTTTCACGCAAGAGTGCACTTGAGCGCTCTCTCTTCGTGAAAGTGGTTGTTTAGTGCTGTATTCTTTTATGCGCGTTTAGGGCTAAAAGTTTTCCATATGAAGAGTATACTAATATACTCCAAAAATAACAAGAAAATTGATTGAAACAGGTAATTAACATAATGACTTTTAGCTCATATGATCTTTATTTGGACATTTAATGAATATTTACTTCATTTTGGGTATGTTTTAGTGGTATCTCCACGCCGGAGTTACGGGTCAAATTTTGGATAGGCTTCTGAACAAGCGCCGTTTGTTTCTTCTTCTTCTTCCAGTGCAAGTACAGTCCTCTAGGTAGAGTATTTTCATACTGTTGTGTAGTGCTGTGAACAAGTGTGCCATGCTGCATCGTGTGAGCCTCAAAAAAAGAGGTCCCAAACGATTTTAGAATTGAGTAGTAAAAGGTGTTCATTGTGCAAGTAAAAATAACTCCTTCTCCAGCTAGTTTGATGCAGAGTTACCCCAACCAGCTGCCTCTTATACTGTTCCAGAGAAGAAGCTGCCGTCACAGTGGTAGGGAGCTGGTGTGTACGTTGGTCTTCTTGCACGTGTTGTCTACATGTGTCTTCCAGCTTAGCTTGGAGTTGATGTGTACTCCAAGGTATTTGGCATTGTTTACAGTTGGAAGCTCAACTCCATGGAGTAAGTAAGGTGAACGTATGACATTTTCCACCTTGTTGGTCACTCTGATGACTTCACACTTGCTTGGGTTGTAGATGGTTAAGGTCTTCTTGGAGTGTGTCTGCGTCGGCTTGTGAGTTAATGTGTCGGTATAGTAGACAATCATCAGCAAACATCCGAGCTTCTGAACGGACACAGTTTGGCAGATCAAGAAGAGAAGAGAAGAGAAGAGAAGAGAAGGGGGCCGAGGACAGTCCCTTGGGGTGCCCCTGAGGTCACATCTGCCGGAATAGAACTTGTTCCATCCAGTACAACCTGTTGTACACGATCTGTGAGAAAGGCTTTGATCCAACAGAGGAGGTTACCCTAGACACCATAGAAGGCTAGTTTTCTCAGGAGTCTTTCATGTGGTACTTTGTCAAATGCCTTTGAAAAAATCTAACAGCACTGCATCGATCTGCTTATTGTCCAGTAAAAGCATGGCCCGAATAAAAGTAATACGGCTTGCACATGCAACGGGGGGGGGGGGGGGGGGGGGGGGGGAGAGAATCTATACTACTACAGTTAAACCTGTGTTAACGACCACCTGTCTGTAACAACCACTTAAATTTCACCGTGAGATTTCATGTACTGTAGTTAAGAACCTGTACACAACGACCACCTCGTCGCCTGGCTGGCAGGTCAATTTCAGGTCAATAATGAAACTTTAAGTAGAAGGGCGTTAGCACTAAATCGCCTCAAACTATTATAAAACTAACTAATTTCCAAGAAAAAAAATTATAGTCGTGTTCTACTACAACATTTCTATTACGGTAGTCGTTTATGTTTTAAACCAATTTTCGGGACGGAAAGCAATTTAAATATAAAACAAATCTTTAAATGCGAATAATTCGAAAAGTAGTTTTCGAGTCGCTCACCCGCTAACGCCCTTCTGCCACCCGGCCGACGACCTGTCCACAACGACCACCTGTCTGACGTGACCAGCGGCCACTCATTTTGCTTCCGCTGGCCACAGAAAATGCCCACACAACGACGCAAGGCCAGGAGCCAGATGTAATCTCAGCGGAACAACCGTGGATATCACCTAATACTATAGATGAATTGTAATTTGTATGATGTGCTGAGCCTGGGGCCCCTGGCCCAGCACATCGTACATTTACGAGGCCGTATGATCATGTGTAGACAGAAATAACCGTGTGGTTTTGCCATGGAGAATTATTTAATAAAACCAGGCTTGAATACCAGCAATATGATTGTACAGTACCAGGTTTGAGAAAAAAATATAACTAGAATTCAATTCGTCACGAGGACGAATAAGGTGGTCTGTCTTCAAGTCTTATGATAGATTATAATATTTACTATATTGAGAAAGGGAGAAGTTATATAGACATGTAAACAATGATGATGATGATGATGATGATGATGATGATGATGATCATGATGATGTTGATGATTATCATCAACAGACCATGATGACATCAGACTGAAAAAAATGAGAGAACATTTAGAAAGTACATGTAATATAGTCTCAGCTACAACGTACTAAAAAATCAACAAAAATCAAGCCAAAATAATGGCGATATTGCTCGCAAAAGACAAGAATGTAGAATCCAGATTTGAGAAAAAGTCATCTCCTATAAGGATTACACGCAAAAAGTAATGGATCAAGTGATAATAGGGTAATAATAAAGTAAATATGGTTGTTTATTACATTATTTGCGATTGTACGTGTTTTAATATTCAAAGGAGATGGTACAGTGAAAGGTCAAAAAGAAAAAAAAGTGAAGAAAAAAAATTGTTGGAGACGCCCGGACTCGAACCAGGGACCTCGAGGTCGGAAGTCAAGTGCGTTACCGATATTCCAAAACATTTCCCATAGAGATTACACATAAACGGAAAATGGAATTCTCAAATCCCACTTTGTAAGTGAAATATGAGCATGATCCCGGCATCTGATCAAAAAATAAAGGGCACACTAGTGAAAGCTTATTGTCTCAGCTACAACATACTCGAAGCTCAGCGTAAACAAAGATAAAACGATGGAGATATTGCTCGCGAAAGACGAGAATGTAGAATTCAGTTTTGAGAAAAAGTCATGTCCCATAGAGAATACACGCAAAATGTAAAAAATTGACATGCCTCCTTTAATCGCAAAAATACGCCATGATGCCTTTGTCAAAATGAAATATCGTGGCAACTGCATTTGTAGACAATATTCTCAGGTAGAACATATCAAAATTTGAAAGAAAATTGATCAATTTTTACAGAGATACAATCAATTTTCCAAAAATCTGCTGACGTCATAATATGCAAATTGAAATTTTGAGTTCGGAGGCCATTATGATGACGTCATGAGTTAATTGAGGGTCAAATGAGACATGAAATCATATCTCCAACTCATGCTTTTTCCAACCATGATATAAAAGTTGGGGGTCAATGGACTATCTGAAGAGCTATTTTGATTTTTAAAATGGCATGTTTTTGATCAAATTTGCATTATATTGCCCATAGCAGCACGCGCGGATTTTGAACTTTGACGCACGTTCACGGCCTTATGAAAGGTCAAGAGTGACTGAAATTAATGTAAATTGTCATTTACGGTAAGAGGAATCTAAATCATGTAAAATATTTGAATTTGACTTTTTCCGCGGGGACACGTACGGACGGAAAATTTTGAAATGCTTAAAATGACGTGAAACATGTGCAAAAAAAATTTGGAATGAATTTGAGCATTTTAAAATTTTAATGCGCGCGTACGTGCGCGATGAGGTGGGCGCACGGATTTTGTTGAAATTTTAAGCTGACCTTTGACCTGAAGTTGATGTATACTAAATATGGTTCATTTTGGATTACTCGTTATCGAGATATGATAATGACCTGATTTTTACAAAATGGCGCCTGGATGACGTC